CTTGAGTAAATCCCAGCTATATTGGCTAGAGAGTGTGTGTTCATGATTGTGTGTCATCACCAGGGACTGATGATGGATCCGGTGCTGCTTACCTGTCGTAGTCCTGGCAGATCTCCCCCACAGCCACCAGGGCTTTAAGGTACTCATTTGGCTGGTATGGGTGGATGTAATGCAGGGAGCAGCTGTTCCGGGGATCGCCATTAGATGCTGTGAAGTCTATTGCCACCTGAGACAAACACACACGCACACACAGAGTCACACACACAGTACATGCTCACATACTGCAGCTCCATCTAAAGCTGTTACACTGATTTGCTGCTGTAAATATTGACGACGTGAGACATAAAGTCACTCACTGTGAACTGAATCTGACAGCCTCCCATGATGTAGTCCAGGAAGGAATACATTTTGATGATCTGTCGAGGAAATATTACACATTTAAACCGTTTCCATAAAAATGATTAGTTTTGTCCCAGAGAGAACTTCAGTGTTTGATTTTTTTTTAAAGAAAATTTAAAGAGGAAATAATTGAATTATTTGCCCGTTGTATTGTCTGGAGAATACTCAGTACTTGTTCTATATACAGAAGCACAAACCCAAACAGTGTTTACTCCCCACTCCCCATCTCCTGCTTTGAATGTGTTTCCATTTGTGTTTATTGTACTTTTGAAATCAGAGGGCCGTTTGGTTCAGGCTAATTAAATACTGATTATTTTCCAGGAAATTGTTCATTTTACCAACGTTCATAATAATAATAAAAAAACTAAACTAAATAAATAAATAAATTTAAAAAAGACTGAAAATACTGTACCTTACAGTGGTTGAGCATGACAACACCAGAGTTCCTATAATTCTTCTTCTTCATCTGGTATTTAGGGTTGATGCACTCCCACTGAATCTGGGCAAAGACACACAGCAGTGGGCGGGAATGAGTTTCCACGGAGGAGGAGAAGCCAAAACATTCATGAAGCGGGGACATGTGACCACATGACTAATATCTCAGCGTGTCACGATCAGTGGATGAACTTTTATTTTGGACAGAAGAACCAGAATTTAGGATCAGTTTTCATTTGGTTGCCTGTACTTCTGTGGAGATTTCAGTGGGTGATTCTGATCACAGGATGTTATTGAAAATGGATCAGAGCAGTGAGGGACACCAGGGCCGCCTCAGGGCTATTTTTAACTCTCATTACCTGACGTGGATCCAGCTGTCCATCTAAATAAAGCTGTGGTATGATTTCCACTGGTGTGGCTGCTGGAGGTCCCCTCCCCTCTGTGTCCGTGTGCTCACCTGTTTTCCCTCTTGTTCGGCCCTCATTTCTTTGAACGTCGTCTGAAACTCTCCGATAAAATCGTGTTTTCCATTGGAGTCCCAGTCCCAGACTGTGCACTGCAACACACACAACAGAAACACACACACACCTGAGCACAGATTTTTTTGTTTTTTTGTTCACCAAAATACACACATACACACACTGGCCTGCAGAGAAATGCCATGCTAAATGATTGATCAGGCGATGCCAGCGGGGGGCGATGGAGTGGTGAAATATTAATCGGAGGATGCTGAGAGGGACGCGGCTTAAGAGGGGGATTAATGTGTGTGTGTGTGTGCGCGCGTTAACGCCCGATAGTTTGTTTCTCTCAAAGGACGTGCGAGACCAGAGACAAGATAAATGGCCCCAATCACTGGTGAGGAGCTCGGCCCAAATCCTAGCATGTCGCACAGGCGTAATCTTGTGAATTCAGAGCGAAGGAGGAAGAGCGCGAGATCTGAATCATTCTCAGTTCGTTCGCTGTAATCAATATTATTCAATGAGGCCGGTCCACACAGACGCAGGCTAATGGGCTAACACTCTCTAGATAAGGCTAGCATCTCCAAAACACTAAGTGACTCCGTGCTGTTCTGCTCTTTGACCTTCTCGCCTGAGGTCACGCAAATAACTAGCAATCAGGAATAATTCAACGAGGCTCCGCTAACAACACGGCCACCGCTAATCCCCTTATTTCCTTCGTCCCACTTAAGCCTAACAAGTGTGTGTGTGGATGTGTGCGTGTGTGTGTGTGAGTCATGTTGTGTGGCTTGTCTTTGGGTTTTAAAAGTAGTCTTTGAAGGAGATGCTGATGATGGCCTTGCTCCACCTCCGAGTGGCTGAGAGCTGCGCAAAAGTGTAATGAAAAAATAAGACGTTCCACTTCATTCACCGCATACAAACAGCTGGAGGAAGTCAGGGAGCAGAGAGAAGGTGGAGGCAAAAAAATAAAACAACCCAGAAACCCATGAGCCACAGTGGTTGGAGGGAGGCAGACTCCACAGAGGACGATGTATGCATTTATGCATTGGTCTCTTCAGGTGAGAGGAAGCACTGGTCTGGAATGGAACGCTGCCCTGGTAATTCTCACCATGGACGTATGCTATAAATGAGTAGCCCTGGAAACCATAGCTGGTGTGTGTGTGTGTGTGTGAGTTCATTCTCCTGCTGTCAGAAGCCATGGAGAGTTAAGACACCTCTGAATATTTAATGAACAAGCTCATGTATATTCATGGTCAGAATAACTGTTCACAAAATGTTCAGCCGCCGCCTTCACACATCGGGATCGCACGTGCGCACGCACATACACACACGCGCGTGCACGTGCATGTAGTATTTGACTGTTAATTCACTTTTCGGATCAGAAAAAGTGAGATCTTCTAAATCCCTCTGGGTCTTCCAGGGAAGAAAACAGGAAGAGACGTTTGGGAAGGTTTGTGTTTTGGATTGTTTTTATGAGTGTGTGAGACAAGCTCAACCTGTGCCTTTGAATGACTCTTCATTTGGATTTTACACCACAATAAAATGACCTACAGGTGTTGAGAGGTACTAGTCCTCCAAAGGCACCTTTTCACCAAATAAAGTCCTACCTGTCCCCGGGTCGGTACCAGTACCTGTGTGCTTTTACTGCAGGCACCACAAACTATGACATTCAGTGAGTGAAGGAAATGTTTGTGCACAGACTGTTTTGATTGGTTGGAGCCTCTCTGCACCTGCTGTCTCTGTGAAATACAGGTTTTTATAAATCATCTTCCTGTTGATCCTTTTCAGGGTCGAAAAAAATAAATGAACTTAAAGCAAGTGTGGAAGACACTCATCTGATTAAGCCACAGCCACCCTGAGATTAATCAGATTAACAGCACTGGTTTGGAGTTAAACGTATCATTGTTGCCGTTACTGGAACTCACCTTTAGCTCCCTCTCATGGTCGCCGCTGCAGAGCGTGTTCAGGGAAACTTTAAAAGACTTCCAGACTGGACTCAGGTTGTTCATGACCGTCTGTTAACATCAAAGATGACAGATCAGGAGAGCCACAGTAAACACATGTTTCTTTAGTCGTTCTAACGACTGTACCTCGGTTCTGTGTACGAGAGACTCCGTCCCGTCATCGTTCACCCTGAAGATCTCCAGAAAAGGGTCAGACTTGCTGAAGAAATCCTTCATTTGTCAAACACAAACATAAAGTAGGAGCCGTGTTACTGCTCAATATAAAGACTCTTTTTCTCATCCACTTTGTTGTTGTTTTTTTAATTGCTGCTGTCACCCATCCCTCCCTCTCCATTTTCTCTGCCCCTCCCCTGTCCTCCTCCACCGTCCCCCCGGGACACAACTTGTTGAGATTAGCTGTTTGTGCCTGTGCGTGTGTGGAAGCTGAAAATTAATATAGTTATCTCTGTGTGTGTGTTTGTGTGTGTGTGTGTGAGACAGAGGGCATGGGAGGAAGTCAGGTCTCCCTCCTCCTCGTCCTCTCCCCATGTTTTTGCCATTGTTTTTTTTTATTACCTAAGGCAGTAAATAACACATTCAAGGAAATTAAATGACTGCAGACCTTTAGCCATTTCAGCCACCATGTTGATGAAGGGACTCACTTATATTCATTGTGGTCACCATAGATTTTTTTTTAGAACCAAATTCTCTGCTAACTTTTGAGCCGTCAGCAAGCAACATCCCTAAAAAAAGTGCATGAAAAATAAATGAAGCTCAGTTCCTCCAGGGCGTCCACGTATTCCCGCTCTTATCTCCCTTGAGTGCATTTTAAAAGCAGGAGTAACTTACAGGACTCTGCTCCAAACTGGGTGACCTGGATTATACTGCACTCACAACGCTGTAAATGTTACTTCATTTTATTCTTAAGTGTCACAGGAGACGGATCTGACCCTCATCACTGATCAATGCTGTGCTGATCAATGTTTTGACTTCTCATGATGCTCAGCGTGGCGTCTCGTCAGTACCTCATGGCTAACGCGGAGCCAAGATGCTACGTATAAACACAACATGTGTCTATTGGCATCAGCTTCTTATGGAGTGTTACTCTCTCTCACACACGTTCACACGTCGACACTTAGATACACACACACACGAGCAACAGCCTGACAGCTCACACCGAAACGTTTGTTACATCTGCAGAAGGAAAAAAAAACAAAAAAACATGAGTTATAAATATTTTTGGAAGCGCTCACACATCTGCACACACCTTGTCATCCAGCTTTCGCGCGCTGAAGGAGAGTTCAACGTAATCGTCATTACCAGACAGTTCCTCAGCTGTCACCTTTACAGAGGGGGGTGGGGGGGGAGGTTTATGATGCAGGTGAGGGGGAACAAGAACAGGTTGAACACTCAACATCTTCAAATTAATTCAGAGAGAATGAGGTGTGTGTGTGTGACTGGCTTTTGTGTTTGTGCGTACCTGTACTTGGCTGTACTTGTGGGTACATTTAAAAAAATACTAGTATTGGATATTTGTGGCTAAAGATTAGGTTTGTATTTGTTAGGATTAGAGTGAAGGGCTAAGAGAAGGTGCTCTTCAGTCACACTCATACCGTAATAGAAGACTTTCCTGCTGTGTTCCCCTGTTTGAGTAGAGATTTGGTCAGTTTCCTCTGTGACACAATCTGAAAAAAAAAAAAAAAACACAAACAGAGACTCATTAAACTGTAGTACCACTGTAGTATTTCCAGTATTTCTAATCCTGATTTCCAATATCTGTGTCTTAGTGACACTAATTGCTCTCTCCAGCGTTCACCGTCCTCACTGGTCAGACAGGGAATCAGCCAGTGTTAGTGACCGCTCCACTGGGAGTCAACCACACCAACAGACCACACCAACAGACCACACCAACAGACCACACCAACAGACCACACCAACAGACCACAGAGTAGCAGGAGGCTGTCGTCCAGGATGTCTCTCTGTGGGATCATTAGCAGCAGAAACACAAAACTCATTTACATGTTTTCTGCACATCAGGAACATCAAAGAAATGTTCCCAGAAGGAAAAGTGACAATTTGATGGTTGTGTGATTAAATATTGAGTTTAAAAAATATTACAGGGGAACATAATACACTTCATGTCCTAATAACAGTGTATGATAAAACGTGTCCCTCCTCCACACTACCTTGGTGGAACAAAGTTAACATCTCCACCTACTACAGTCAGGGACACAGTAGATTTATTTAGCATCAATGTCACTGTGGGCAGTCAGAGTACGTCCTAGTCTGGTTGTTGTTGTTGTTGTTGTTGTTGTTGTTGTTGTTTTTTCTGCTGCTAAGGTATCGATTATAGACGTTTCCATCAATTTTTTTACCCTTCCTGATTCTACCAAATGTAGCGTTTGTGGAGGGGTTTCAAACCCAGAACCTTGTGGTGTCAGGCAGAAATCCCACACTTTTTTTCCTAAAGTAGAATTAGACAAAAAAGTCAATTTAACACGGCAGGTCCCTTTGATAGCGTCGACGTTGTCCACATCTGCTCATCAGCTGGTGCAGCAGTGTTTTGTTTACAGCACAAAAAAATATATGCAGCATTTCTGGCCCATTTCAACAATTTCAACCTCTCAGACTCTCACTTCCAAATTCCACCTCTTTCCACGTCCATTATCTGGGCTCAGCCAACTATTATAAACCCACAGACAAACTCAACTCTTCCACACTCCGCCTGTCCTCCTACTTCATTCTCTACAATGGAATTAGTCAACCTGGTAATAGTGTGCGATCCTTCATCTCATTAGAACGCTCCAAACAGAAGAATGGGGTTGAGGCAAATGTTTAAATATTGATTACAACTCTAACTCTACGCCGAGGCTCTGTGTGGCCGCATGTGTCGGTCTGACTCGACTTTGTAAACAGAGGATTGTACCCAGGGGGATTCTGAAAGTAAGGAGTGAAGGACGCAGGCAGCACCACGTCAGTGAAGGATTTCACACTTTAGGTTAATTTTAGATGTTCTTTCATCCTAACTCTAGTTCCAGTGACCTGAATATAATATTCTGATTTTCTGCTCTCTAAATGATTAATTACAGTTAATCATGGCCATATGGGTGTGTTTGTGTGTGTGTGTGTGTGTGTGAAGGATGTGCTAAAGAAGGAAATAAACAGATGTTTTTTTAGACATTTTCCTGTGTATGAATAAATGTATAGAAACGGCCAGACTGTGGAAGAGTGGTTATTGTTTTTACAGCAGAAGGATCAAAGCGTCATGGGGTTTTTTTCTGTATGGAGTTTTCATGTTGTCAAAGAGTCAAAGACCCCTGTACTGAGGACAAACACATGTAGATTATGTATAGTAGATTATTCACTCTAAATTGACCCCATGTGTCAATATTATCTCTATTATCTATTATCTCTTTTAATTCATGCTCCACATCCGTTGACGTCCGTCAATACTGTGTCCATAAGTCCTCTGAATCAAGAATGCCATTTGAGTTTCTTCAGCTGAAATATTTGGACATGAGTCACAACAGCCTGGTAAATATTGGTTGGTTTCAGTTTCAAGGACAGTTAATCTGCTCTGCTCGGCTCTGCCTGTTACCATGGTGGATTATTTTACTGTTTCTGGTGTTTTTGTCTTTTTGTTTTATTCTTGCATTTTGGCTTCATTCAGACTCTTTTGTCAGGAAGACAGAACCTTAACCTTAGACATAACAGGAACTGGTTTAATACAGGGGTAATGACTCACTAAAACGGGCAGACAGAATGGAAATGATTGTATGAGGTGTTTTTGTATTGCATGATCAGTTAGAAATAATAAATAATAAAGTCACTTCTAGATACCAAATACTGTTCTGAGAAGAAAATGTAATGGAATACAGCATGTCTGTACTGGAGTAGGATGGATGTAATTATTAGTTATACTGAACTAAATCATTTCATTAAAATACTCCTGTATCAAACACAGCCATCCTTAATTGTTAACCTTAAAAAAATACCATTTATTATCAACAAGCTTCATGTATTCCAAACCTAATGTGCAGTAAATGCCCCTCCTGATCCAAACTCAGGCGCAGCTCTGACGTTTTATTGCGTGTTGCACAATAATAAACACAACATTTACTGCATGACATGGCATCATTCAGTGCATTTCACTTTGTACCAGGAAAAACATGCTGCGCCTTCATGTATATACATATATACTGTATATATTTGTGGTATGATTGCACACGTCACATGCACCGCTGCATGTGCTTTTATGGAGACATCACTCTGACATGTGTTTACATGCTAGTGCACCGTAGTGTATGTAACGTGCAAACCTCACTGACAGCACATGCAACTCTGCGTCTGTGCAGTGAACTAACATCCCTTTTGGTAGCTTCCTACCTTCCTCTTTTAGACTTTTAGCAGATGAAGATGATAAACATGACACTAAATTATTCAAAAAGACAGAAACCGGCACTCACCTGTCCTAAGGTGCACTCCATGGCGCCCAGGAAGTCGGCATCACGGAGGCCGTTGTTGGCGGAGCTGATGTCATGAAGTTCAAAACGAAGCCTCTGGACCTCCTCGAAATAGTAATCCACCAGGAAGATTTTGGAAAAGACTGGGCCGCTGCTGCTGCGTATCACCTCTGTGCGGTCCACCTGGGACAGTGACCAACCAACGACAGCGTGTCACTTTAGTACAGTTATTACGGCTTATTACTTCATCAGTAAACACTGCTGGTCTCTAACAAATATCTTTCTTTCTTGCTGTCTTTTTTAGAAGAACATCAACATTCTCTGATGTAACAGATGTATTTGTAATCTCTTCATATTCTTCTTTCATTTAAATGTCTTTACTTTTCCTAAGGTTCCCAGTTATAGTTGTTCTGATGTCTCAGTGTGGGGACGGTGTTCTTTGGGTTTTTTGGTACCATGAGGATGCCTACAGACTTCCTGAAAACTCTATGTCTTCAGTTCCTGACAGAAGAAAACTTTCTTTGATAACTTTATATATCCTCCTGTTTCTGTTCAAACATCAACAACTCATTTTATCAGATTTTTATCAGGGGATAGCTGAAATAAATTCTTAAAAGAAATTTAAAAAAAACCCCACACACTATCTGAGACATGAAGCATACTCCAGTTCCCTTATGTGACGTAAAATACTGTTAGCGTCCTGGTATCTAAGTCTCAGGCAGGCTGGTGATTTGGTTCTGAGCTTTGGTTTCAAATCGTTTTAAATTAAAATTAGCATTTTCTGATTGACAGTAGGGAAATCAGAGAGTGACCTTTATCATCAACTAAATATAAATGAATCTCATACTTAGGGATATTTGCAAAATGACTGCAGTGTTTGGAGTCTTGGAGGTGGCTGTAGTGCAGTTTTACAATGGGAGAGTTGTGGGTTTGATTCCAGACCAACAGGTCATATGCCTTCACCAAGTACATGGCAAAACTTGTAGTACATGGTGCCTTGAATAAAGACTAGAGTGTTGTAGAAGTGTGGGAAATGTGCTATTTATTTCAATGGCAGAATAAAACCCCAAATCCTGAAATAAAACAACTGTATTTCCACAGATACTAAATCCTTAAACTGTCGTTTTTAAACTGAGCTTCTCCCAATATTTTCTGTCAACTCTGTCATTCAGCATTGATCTGAACGCTCAGCGTCGAGTTTTTTTTTCAGCAATGCAGCATTTGCTACAAATGGCCGTTACACCAGTGTTTGCACTTACAACCAACATCAAAACACCAGTCATGGATTTTTTTTTCTCCTGATGGACTAAAGAAGAAAAGAGTCTTTTGGGCACAAAAGAGAAGCGGCTGCAGCTGAAACATCGATTTCACATTTTCTTCTGTTTCTCCGACAGAACAGAAGACGAAGGCAAAACAAAATGTCCATCTCGGGGGTGTCAACAAATTCTGCTGCCCAAAATAATGACTGTGTCCCTGTCAATGTTGGTCACACTTTGGCGCACACACACAAATCCACACATGCGCAGACGTGACACCCACACACCCACTGATTTGGCCTTTTTCTGACACTTACCTCAATAGGCCGGAGCCTCATTAGAGCCAAAAGAGTCGTAAACGCATGAACACACACATGTGCAGACACACACACACACACATGCACACCCGCTGCTTTGAACGCTATCTCCCCCTCTCAATTACCCATGTGAGAGTGTCTGATTCTGGAAGGCAGCGATAACTTTTGAATCCACATTCACACAGACCCACGTCGGTGCCCAGTACAAAGTGTCCTTTTGTTGAGGAGTTTGCGTGTGTTGTGTAGCACATCCTCCCAATAATGACATGTGAATCCACACACGTTTAACCGTAGGTCAGCAGCGGTGAATGCGAGGATGATTAGGAGGAAGCATACGTGGACGTAGCTGCATAATTAAAGGGAGGAGCAGGGTGAACGCCACAGGTGTGCCTTTTTCTTCTCACATGTAGCAGAAGAGGAGACGGGGAAAAAGAACAAAGCTTTTCCTTTGTTTTCCCTCTTGATGTTTCACGTCTCTCATGTCGACTTCTGAGTTCATCTAATCCATGTGTTACTGCAGCTGACGAAACTTCAGTGAGGATAAGCTGTTTCACAAATAGGCGACTCTTATCTGAAGTCCCCCGGTCTTAGAAGTGAAAGAGAAAAGAGGGAGTGAAATAACGGCGACAGGCAGGCACGCAGCGCCATTAGTTCGCTATTTATTTTCTACTTTCAAGTGCTTTGGAGAAACGTCCGGGCGGATTTACGGGGAAACAATTCTGTTGCTCTATTTTAACGTCCTAAATACTCTAAATCAGGGGTTCCTAACAAGTAGATTGCGATCTACCAAGTAGGTCACAAAGGAAGTGCTGGTAGATAAATTAATTAAATATATATCAGTGTACGGTAATATGGGCTGTGGTCTAAAAATTGTTTTGGGGATAAACGGCTGTATATTTAAGTGGAAGTCACTAGATGGCAGCATTGTAGCTCATTTAATTAATCTCATACTCATACAGTGCTTTGTAAAGATACATCAATTATCGGTATCGCTTGATATCGGAATCGGAAACTAAGTGTTTGGACAATATCGACAAAAAGTTCATATCTGACATCCATACTATATGTTTATAATACTCTGTAGAGTGTAGTAGTGGTCAGACTAATCAATACCCCAACATTTGATGTATGAAACATGTTCATGAGTTAATTTATATATTAAACGTTTTCGCTGTAGGTCGATCACGTTTGCGGAGTGCAGAGGTTAATTCCTGAGAATATAATTTGGCACAAGAAGGTCAGGCCTTCATCAGATTGAATAATTTAGTCAAACACGAATCCAGTCATGCATTTAAACCAATTCCAAGTGTCATCTGCAGAGGAATACATAATAGTTGGAGGAGGTGGAGGTGGAGGTGGAGGTGGAGGAGGAGGTGGAGCTCCCTCCCAGGGAGAAGTATGAACATAAAACCTGACTCTAAACTACATTACCTCCGCCAAAGAAAGCAAACTGTATCACAACGAGACCAATTACGTCTGAGTTCACTTATTGGAGGACAAAAGTGCAGCGGTTCATCTGATTGGTTGGCTTATAAAGGATGTGTCTGTTTCATAGTCTCCCCAACAATGTGTTTTACAGCGACATGAAATCAATGTCACTGAAATCACACCTTTACTAAGAAACCTGAGCATGTCGAAGCCTTTCAAGAGAATCGATAGAAATAATAAAATGTTACACTTTCACCAGCAGAGGAAAAGCAACTGGAATCAATAAAACAGAAGCAGCAGAGTCAATATAATTCTGTTAAATATTATATTATATATGGAGTCCAGTTGGGAATTCTCTGTTATATCGTACAGTACACCAAATGAATATCATTTAAAATATTTAATATGTAGATATAAATATATTAACTTTTCATTTGGAGTGTCAGTGCAACAGACTTGGTCATGTCATTAATGATTCAGTTGAAGCTCAGTTTAGATGAGATATTAGATATGAGATATTATTGTTAAGATTAAATTGTAATCTTGAAGACTGGAAGACACACTTTTAATGGAAGATGTTTTTTAACAGGTGCTAATAAAAGCTTTATGACCCTGGTGTCTTCTGGGGATCTCAAAGCTGCTGCCCTCCAGCTAATCCTTAGCCTTCAGGATGTTTTGTAAGAAAAGGAAAAACTAAATATATTCTTAGCTTCGATGAAGAGGAAAATATACTGTCTGTTTATGAATGGGCCACTTCTACAAAACGAGAATGTCTTTGTGAGAACAACTTCAATGTCACTCGCCCTCCCATCACAGGGCTTTACCTGAAAATCTATCAGTGTCACTCACATTAATGAGCCGCCTGCTGCAGCACACATTCACAGAGACTCCCATCCACGATGTACAGCCAGTCAACAGTCGGTCACAGGCTGACAATTAAAACACGATTACATACTGTACTTTACATCCAATCATTCTGTGTCGTTACCGTACCTCAAACCACTGCCCGTGGGACTGCATCTTCAAAACCACACAAGGGTCTGGTTTGGAAAGAGCGTCACGGTCTGAGATCCCGCGGCAGGCAACTCTGAGCTCCACTTTGGTGAGGCATGGAGAGCTGATGAAGCCCAGCGTGGCTTCTGCAGACTCGTAGATGTTACTCATGCTGAAAGCAAACACACTGAGAGAAGAGACGTAGGAGTTAGATCAGAGATGATGGATGGATGGATGGATGGATGGATGGATGGATGGATGGATGGAAAGATGGATGGAAGGATGGACCAACTGACAGATATAGCTCTTGTTCTTTGCATTGACATGAGAAGTGCAGAAGCACTGACTAAGCGTTTAAACTGTTAGAGGGCAGTACATAAGGTCAGCTACTCAATATCACACAATGTCCTCTAATGAGCAGCAGTACACATACACATACTCCATGTGCACTGACATACACTCTCCACATTATACACCCATTCATGCAGGTGCATGAAAACACAAAGTACACAGAGGCTACTGCATAAATATGAACATGCATTACACACCCACATACATATACATACACATACTCACTGACTCACACACACACACACACACACACAGACACAGACACGGACAGAGGGAGCTCAGCTGTATAGTCAGCAGAGCGTTCATCAGATTCCTCCTCAGGTTTCCATAGAGTGTAGAGTTCACTCTCCTCGAATAGAAAACAATCAAGAATCTAATCACTGCACGGACACCACCCTGAGAAGATGACATTAACAAAGACACCAGGAGTAACATTCCTCACCACACCAACTGCAGGGATGTTACTGAACCTCCCAAGTGTAATTGTTCTTGTATTGGCTCTTAATAGTCCTTCAGATTTGTTCAACATGTGGCCCAGGAGCCAATTATGGCACATGGTCATCTTCATTTAAAAAAAAAAGAATTTATTTTTGGCCCATGTTTTTCATCAGGAGAGACCTTTTCCTTTTTATCCCTAACTCCCATCTTTGCAAAAGAAGGTTGCATCAGGAAGAGGGAAAGTCAAATCACATCACACTGAGATCGTGGTGAAGAGGCTGCTCCCCCTAGGGAGAGTGGGGGTATTGCAGAAGCCAGGCAAATGCATTTTAATTTCAATAACTTAACAAAAATTGAAAATGTCATCTCCATTGTTAAATTTACATTTTGTACATTGAAGTTTTAAAGCTGTGAATGTGCACAGAGAGGACAAGGGTCTCAAACCCTGCAGAAAAAAACGATGGGCACCCGTGAAGTGACATTTCCTATGATGATTGTTTGAGGATCACACATCGAATCCAAAAATGTAGAACTCTTAACTTCAGGAAGTGTTTCGCTGTACGCAGCATTCCACCTGATGGCTGGAACACACTTCCAGGACGTGCTCTGTAATCAGCAGCTCTGTTTACAAAAGCGGAATCAGGCTGACATTTAATCTGTACTGAACATTTATTACAGTAAGATCAGGAACACTGGATCGCATGTATAATTAATCTTACAAAAGCACAGATCCATTTTCACAGCCCATAATGTATGGAGAAACCTACAGAGGCCCCGGTCCATTTAGTCCAAACTGGAGAAAAAGGCAGGTCTCATGAGCTGGAAGGTAGAACTGAATATTAATGCAGTGGTCTAGTAGTATTATCCTTAGGGAGTGAAGCGCTCAGAACTGGGTCTGACTCTGACCTGAATATCTCTCTTTCTCTCTCTCTCTCTCTCTCTCTTATAGACACTCACAAGATGCAAAATGAATTATGGGAGACACGGAGAAAGAGAGAGGGAGAGAGGGAGGGAGGTGTGTGTCGTGGTAATTATTTTTAGCCGAGCACAATGAATGCCCTGTATACAGGAAAATGTATGCAGACAGAGCCACAGGGCAGGTGGGCTTCACACTGCACACCCGTGTGTGGCACGGAGACGGTTAACGCGTTTCCTATTGCACACTGCTGTCCGTCAGGGAGTGTGCGTGTACCTGTGCGTACATGTGTGATGTTGTCATTGTGTGTGTGTTTCTGGTGAAGCAGCAGATGCCTGTCTGTTCCGCTTGACAGAAGATGACACTGATAGTGATGCAGGAGGAGCAAGACACAGGCCACTGTGCTGTACACGGAAAACATCAGCTGTCACAGGTGTTGCACATTGCCAGAGGTGACGGAGGATTTGGTGTCGCAGAACCGAAGCAATAGCTGCTGGTACCGAGTTAAAGGACCGCCGGAGTACTGGTGTAGCTACTGTGAATTTAATCAAAGTGTCACTTTACACCAAAACGCCTGCTTGCTTTCCAGCTGTATACAAAGTATACATGTTTCTTGAAATACTTCAAAGGTTGCAGTGTGTCAGTGATTCCCAACCACTGGGCCGTGGCACACTAGTGTGCCGTGAGAGATCGTTAGGTGAAAATAATCCATTGTCACTTCATTGGTCCCATAAATATAATGTATATGATGACTCTCCTCTGGATCTTAACAGTTGCCAAAACATTTTATGGCTCATTAGTGCCAACTAACAACTCTAATACTCACTGACAAATATTGCCAATAAAAGAGGGCGTAAAAAGTTGCAGTAATAATATAAACAAAATGAAATACACTCAAAGGTCAAGCTCATCTCTCCCGTTTACTCCCCAGTTTTGAAGCAAGCATTTATCCCCACTTTAAAAAAAAAGTTTGAATAATTTAAGTCACCAATTGTGAAAAAAGTAGCAGTATATTATTGGATGTTAATGAGAGCAAATATTTTTGGAGCCATTAGTGATGCTGCAGCCAGAACAGCATTTATAGAAGCACCACATAAAGTTTGACGACTCACTGAGGACACCAGTCTTTTACATTCACATCCAGTTGTCTATAAACATGTATTGAAGGAAATTACTTTTGATTTTTTTTTTTCATTACTCCAATCGTCTGAGAGAGATCCTGCTGATACGCCGCAATCAAACAGAGTGCAAAACGCAGGTTGGGAGGCTGAACGCTTTGTCATGAAAGCGACCTTTGAATTGATGTATAAATCTTTCCCACAAAAACAAAAATACAATTGATTGATTGATTGACTGATTGTTGGGCGTTGTAAAGCATCTCTAAATGATTTCAAGGCTCCTCACTGTCAGCTGCTATTTTCCACTCTGTGACAATCAATCACAGTTTAGAGCTGGAGTGCCATGATCTGTGATGGCTGCGTGTGTGTGTGTGTGTGTGTGTGTGTGTGCCCCTTCACCTTCTCATGTGCACTCTCACACTGAAACAGATGTGACATAAATGATTCAAGCACAGGAAGGTCCGTGTCACTGTAGACTGTAACTGCTCGGTCACATATTGATTATCAGACAAAGAGGTGAAGCACTGACTTCCAGCCACAGTCTTTCTGCTGAATGACAAGCGTACGTGGCGTGCTATGTAATATTCATCATTACCACTGACAGCAGGCAGATATGCTCAGCTGACAGAGTGGAATCCTTAATGCAGCTGGGTGTGAGATAAGACAGGGAAGGACTATCAGAAGTGAAACAGTCTGCTGTTGTGGACTCAGTGTTATTAGAGCTTGCAGAGAGAAGTGAGAGCGTGGAGGACAGAGGCCGTGAGATGGGGGGGGGATTAGAGAGACAGAGTGAGAGAAAGAAGTGCAGAAAGACAGGCAAGTGAGAGTGGATGAAGCAGAGGAGAAAGGAAGGAGAAGAAAGAAACGCATCACCTCCACAGGGTTTATCTTCTCTTGTAGTACTCCGGCAGGGTATTATGGAAGCAGATATTTTCTGCAAAGAGCCTGTGTGTGTTCCTTAAACTAAGTCCCTGGGCTTCACACTAAGAATATATTTATATAATATCTGTATATACAGTGTGTGTATAGATACAAACAATACGTTTATATATATATATATATATATATATATATATATATATATATATATATATATATATACACGTGTGTGTATAAACAATTTTTTTCTATTTTTTGTGTTTCCTTTCCACTTCCATGCACAAAGACAGTAAAACAATATCTTAGAAAAAAAACAACAACAACAAACATCTGGATCCTGGCATGAGGCGAACATGTGAAGCGTTCATGTATCATTTAAAACACAAATTATACAAAAGAGAAACATATGCGTAAAGCAGTCTGTGGACTCCTATATCTCGCATGCATCCGTCCTGTTCTCCTGCAGGGACAAAACTCACCTCAACGACCTGGAGAGAAGATCCGAGCGGAGGGGAGCCAACAACTTCACCACCTTCCACTGAAACAATCACGGAGAACTACGCGTCTTCGCACCCATCTCCCTCTCTCCTCACTCTCTTGATCTTTTTTCCCCCCTCCTCACCTCCTTACTCTCCTCACACTGCAGGTGCTCTCGGCCGGGCTGATGCTGACAGTATATTGAGGATTTCTCCTTCAGAGAGATGGCGGTGTGGACGCGCTCCGAGCTCCTGGGTTTACTCCTGGTAAAAGATGGAGAGGAGGAGCACGGTGCGCCACTTAACAGGAGTTTGTAATCCACCGGCTCCAACCGGGGCCGCAGGGAGCGCACCGATCCCTGGAACCAGAGTTGTCAGGGCGTAAGCTGTCAGCGCCATCTGGTGGTCAGTTAAGTCCACTGGCACTTTTAAACTGATTTAATTTAATTTATTTATTTTGCCTCTTTGCTCTGATTGGTTCCGTTGCGCCTGAGCGGTTTTATAATCGGTGATGACCAAAAACACCTGAGTCTCTGCTGTTCGTTCAACACGATTAGAGCAGGGATTTATACACTAGCTAACGCTTTCCCAACCGGGACTAAGCAGACCCCCTAGCGTTATCCAAGAGCATTGTAGGGTGAACTCACAATGTTTTAATATTTTATATTATAAAGAGCTATATATATAAATATATATATATCATATATATATACTATAGCTATACATGTCTAGTAAGGAGGAATAAAGCACAAATATATATTTCTGTTGCATATGATGATGATAATAATAATAATAATAATAATAATAATAATAATAATAATGGCCTACTAGTTATTTTTAAAACGAGACAGAATAGTATTTATTATTTTAATTTGAAAGATTGTTGTATTATATATAGTGTCCAGTAGTAGGCACCCTTGCTGTGTTTCAGGTCATTTTACAGACAATATGTTTTCAATTTAAAACTATGAAGATTGTATATACTATACTGTATTTAATGTAATGTGATTCATGTAATCAGACTATAAAGGCAGGTTTTTTGTGCGATAGGTATTAGTGGTTGTAACATTTAATGAACAGTATTGCTACAACCCAGAGTGCAGTAAAATGTCACTGTATGCAACTTTAATCAATACTGTAATATTTATTTTTCTTGGTCTCCTTTGTTTATAGTGACTGGAATGGATTTTTCACATGTTAGCATTTTCTCTCAAATAATATCTCTGCAAAGATGATGGACTTTTTTGAGGGCAATGGTGTTCTTATAAAAGTTAAATGTTCTTGTTCTTGTCAAATTCCATTATTATTATTATTATTCTCATTATTATTATTATTATTATTATTATTATTAATATTAATATTGGTTTCCCCTGTTTGAGAATCACAGTCTTTCACTAATTTACTCTAGACATAACCAGAACTTGTAAATACTTCGAAGTTAGGTTTTAGCTACAGAGGTCAGATTCCGTCTGTCCCTTACGTGTGTCACGCGTGGAGCTGTGAACCATAGGTTTGTGCGGGCCGACCACGCCCCAGCCCCGGTGTGCAGTGCACCAGGCTGGGTTACAGCCTGCGTACAGCCGCTGCATCCGGGCACTCGACTTGGTTTCCAAGCGCTGCGAAGATGGCGACGTCAGGGAGGAGTGCTTTATTATCCTCCACCTCAGCAGGACCTAAGAGCACCCTGGATAACTCTCACCCGGAGGAGGACGATGGGCAGGATTTATGGTAGGTGATGAGCGATCACAGTGGGTTTGTCGTGACCGTGGGTTCAATGAAAGCGGACATTCCATTGTCCTGGGATGAGGATGATGGGTTGACAGTTAGCCCGCTAACGAGGCTAAGCTAGTATCAGCATCAGTGACAGACAGCGCTTAGCTGCTCCTTGTTTACGTGCTTGCTTCTTTAGTGAATGGTGTTTTTGGGGATTTTTGAGGGCCGTGTTAGTAACACCGCTGCTCTCTCTGCAGGTCCACCATCCTCAGTGAAGTGTCCACCCATTCAAGATCTAAGCTACCTTCTGGGAAAAATGTCCTGGTCATGGGTGGGTATCAGTGCATGTTCTGTTAGCATCGGCAGCTGCTGATCATGTCATCATTGTGTTCTGGACACGTCTCCACAGCTGAGCTGCTCTTAGGCTGCAGCTAAAGCAAACCTGCTAGCTTCAGTGTCCGTTAGCTGAGCAGGCAGGGAGACAGGTGCATCTGTTTGACACGCACGGACACGGAGACACTCTGTACCACATCACTATCATCATTAACTGAGGAGACTGCAAGTCATTCTAGCATCCAGTCAAGCTAACAACGGTGTGGAGCAGGTGATGCTGAGACCAACAAAACAGTCCACGCTTGTTTGAATAGTGCAGACAGTGCCTCAGGGCACACACACACACCAACACACACACTAACACACACACACACCGTGCACACAGCCGCCTCTGTTAATCCTCAGGCTGCCACTTGTTCCAGCTAATCAGCAGACTAGTTTCCTGAGTATTGATCCATTTGTGTGTTAAAGCCACTGTCAGAGACCTGCCTCATGATGCACAGAGCTCACCTGTCACTCTGTAGCAGTTTATTATGAACCATGCACCACTGGTAATGAGAACACAACCCTCTACTACACAGTGACATTTTAATGGATTTGTTGTTATTTACCTAGAAGATGCAGAAATTAAAAACAATCTTTTTCTTCCTAATGTAAAAACCAAGATAGCCAGGTAGTCAGAAAATATCTTTGTCGTTCTTATATCAAGCATTTTCCCAGAGGCTCAATAAGTAATTTTCTTTTTTTCCTGCAGTTCTGCACATTGTGCAAAATATGCAATTAATTCTAAATTTGTAGTCATATAAAGAAATAATTATATTTAAATATTTAAGGTTAGTAATTCCTGACAGAAGTGTGCTTTTGCTGATGTTCTGTGTGTGTTTAGGTGAGGTGGGCTCGGGGAAGACAACCTTGGTTGCAAAGCTGCAGGGTGTTGAAGAGTACATGAAAGGACGAGGCCTGGAATATCTCTACTTCAATGTTCATGATGATGACATTGATGGTAATCAGTGACTGCTCCTCCTGCACTAGACCAATATCTAATTCATTAAATGTACAGAAGTGTGTAATAACATTGACGTTATTCTGCGTCTGTGTCTTTAGACCAAACCAGGTGTAACGCCTGGGTGTTAGATGGAGATCTTTACCACAAAGGGCTGCAGGGCGTCGCAGTACCACTGGACTCCCTCAGCAACACGTTGCTGATGATAACGGTTGACATGTCGCGGCCTTGGAACGCCCTGGACTCTCTGCAGAAGTGGGCCTCTGTCGCTAGGGAACACATCGATAAACTCCGAGTCGCTCCAGAAATGCTGCGGGAGCTGGAGCACAGACGTGAGTCACACACCCTGACAGTCATCAGACGAACCGATTTATCCGAGGAACAAAACTTGCTGCAGTACTCTGGAGCTCAAACTTCTAGATTTAACTGTTTGTCTCTGACTGTCAATGTTTGTGTGTAGTTGTAAAACAGTTCCAGGAGTACACAGAGCCCGGCAGTGTGGAGGACGGTACTCCACAGAGAAGGAGTGATGAAGAGGAGAGTGTGCTTCTACCGTTGGGAGACAACACACTCACACACAACCTGGGTATTCCAGTGGTTGTGGTCTGCACCAAGGTACAAAACTTTAAAGCAGTGGTTCCCAACCTTTTTTAAACCACAGCACATATTTGACATTACAAAAATAAATTCAATATACTCACAATTCACTTATTGTGAAACACCCGCCTTTATATACTGTATACTTACAAATAATTAAACTGCCTGGTCTTTATTGTCATCTGCCGCCCTCTAGTGGAAGTAGTGGAAGTTGTTCTGCTTGTCACTGCTGCATAGATTAACAAAAACATTATTTGTAGTAAATTATGTGATCTGATTATTACACATCATTTTGAAGGAACTTTATGAATTGACAAAATTGTAAAATTATCAAAAAAACAATTAAATTCCAAGTGTCTAAGGTGTTTAGCAAAACACTTTTCATACAAACTAATGATGAAAATACAGACACTTAGTTGTAGCCTCCTAAATACTAGATTTATATTATATGTAATAAAAATATATTTAAGGATTAGCTATTTGTTATCTTAATGTATTTTCCAAATGTTAAAAAAATGTTTATAAATTAGAATTGACTAGATAGAACTCTTTTTTTATGTGGAAGTTGAAGAAAAATCCAATGTAGTTCTCACTGCATGTTCTGTCTTTGTATGAAAAATCTGAAAAATACATCTTGAGCAGTGACTGTGTTGGAACTGAATCAACCCTGTTCCCTCCTGGGCACCATCGCCAGTTCTCTGGGTGTAGTTCCTGAGGTGGAAAAATGCCTTCAAAGTCTGATGTGTCATCATCAGCGTGAGTCATTTTTACATCTGCTTATCGTCTGCCTACAGTGTGATGCAATCAGCACATTGGAGAAGGAGCACGACTACAGAGACGAGCACCTCGACTTCATCCAGTCACACATCAGGCGTTTCTGTCTGCAGTGTATCCTTCAAATGGTCCCATTGTTGTTGTTGCTGTCATTTAAAATGTTCCTGTCGCACAGCTAGTTCAAACAAATGTATAAACAATATATTTAAAGTTAGGCCACAATACAATTAAAAGTTCTATGATATTGAAGGAAATGTGTTTTTAAACTTCAAAACATAGTTAAAAGACATAAATCTAATAAAATGCTTGGAAAATATGTTGTGCACTGGCAAAAAATATATTTTGTAGTACTCTAGCACATTCCCAAAATAAATATATTATTTAAATTAATTTACAGTACACCATTTTTTCCCTTCAGTTTTGTCTTAAATGTTTAGTGTTTGACCTTTTTTTGTTGCTGCTTTGGTGTGTGTTTGGACGTTGAAAATGTCCTTGACTGATGCGTCAGACGGAGCGTCTCTGGTTTATACTTCAGTGAAGGAAATGAAGAACCTGGACATTCTCTACAAATATCTGGTCCACAGACTCTATGGTTTTCCCTTCCACTGCCCTGCACAGGTGGTGGAGAAAGACGCCGTCTTCATGTGAGTTCATCTCCGTCTGAGGACTGCAGGAGTGTCTGTGTTAGTTCTCTAACCTTGTGTCTTCCTGTCCTCCACCAGTCCTTCAGGATGGGACAATGAGAAGAAGATTGCCATTCTACATGAGAACTTCCAGATGGTGAAAGCGGAGGACAGCTTTGAGGACGTCGTAGTCAAACCGCCTGTCAGAAAGGTATGAATTTGGACAAAACCGTCCGATGTTTCCCAAGCCATTTCTGCAGCGCCCCCTTTTGTAGAGAGCCGACACACTTGTAGCTATTTTTTAAAATATCACTGAACCTTATTTAATTCCTACAAATATCAGAAATGAATTTGTCTTCTTTTGTCGTCCTTGCAATAGTTCTGAACCCTGATGCAACAGTCCTGTGTCCTCTAGGGATACCTGGCCCATATTCTAACTGAAATATTAGCAAGGTTGAGGCAACTTTTGAAGTTTTTATTTTCTGCTGCTCATCACTAAAGTAGAACTGCTCCGTCTCTCCCCAGATCGTACATGAGAAGGAAATTCAAGCAGAAGATGACCAAGTGTTTCTGGTCAAACTGCAGGTCAGAAAACTTTTCTGTTGTGTTGCTGCAGCTCCAATTAAATCTCCCCCCGAGTCTTGATATGGTAATGAAGCATCAGTTGCAGTGAGTGTGCAAATTGTGCTCTAATTTGCAGTCGCTGCTCGCCAAACAGCCGGCTGCGACAGCTGGTCGACCCGTGGTGAGTGATTTACTGCTGAAATATTTCACTCCTGAAGAACATTCATCTTCAGTGGATTTGACTGGTGCCAAATAACCTCTGATTACAGGACACCACGAGCCGAGCGCCCACTGGTTCTCCCAGGACGAGTAATCGCTCTGCCGCTGCCAACGTGGCAAACACCATGCCACAGTCAGGTACAGCATGTACATACACCACTGCCTGTGGTTCTGCTGCTCTCTCACTCTTCACTTTTGTTTCCATTCATACCTTTTGCAGTTTGCAAATAATAAAAGTTCTGTCTTTGTGGCTGGATAATTCATTTTTTTAATTTTTTTAATGTAATAACTGATTTCAGTTTGAAAAGACAGATTTTTTTGCAGGCATGGCTTTGAAAATATAACTCATTTGTGCTTTTCCAACCACTCCACTGTTCTTATGCTACATTGTAACAGTAACAATTGCTGAGAATGAATATTAAATACACTGAGTGGTGGTGTTGACGTAATTCCAATGCCACAGTTTGCCTACTACTGTCTATTTGTGTGGTAAACCACTGCAACCTGTCTGCTGCAGGTCAGACCAGTGAGGGTGTGTTGGCAAACTTCTTCAACAGTCTACTGACAAAGAAGTCGGGAACAGGGCCCCCTGGGACGCCAGGTGGTAACAACACTCCGGGAACTGTGCGTAAGTCAGGTGAGTACCCAACCTCAAGTACTGGAGGTTGTCAAAATGATGTTTTTACTCTTCATCCCTCCTCATCTTTCTCTTTTCATTTTCCCTCTGCCAATCTTTTTTTTGTCACATCTGTCCTTAACAACAACCATGAACACAATACATGGATGAAGATCTGCCGCACAAACATGTCGTCACTGTCGTTGTATCTGTGTGTAGCTCTGTGACTGACTCATGGTCTGTTCTGTGGATTTTCACTTCTAACACCCTCCATACTGTCTGTATGTATGTGCACTAGTCAGAGGATGCTGGCCGCGTTAAGGTGTGTGTGGGAGACTCTGCTCATCCATCCTCGCTCGTGTATGTCACTGTTGGTCCTCAGGAGCATCCATTTGTTCCCTGTCCTCCCCCATCACTCTGCCTCTTGTTTTCTTTAGCATCGCACGGAGAGTTTGCTGGGATCAACCCTCCTGCATCACCAAATTCTCTAGAACTTCACCGGCCTCGCAGACTTTGAATGAACAGGGTGTATTTTCTCAGTAGGCAAATTATGGAAATAATGCTGCTGTCGAAGTTTTTTTATGGAGCTAAGTGAGACCTACGTTTTCACTGATCCTCCAGGTTTGGTTAAAATACACTATGGTTTGTTTTAACCCAACCAAACGTGACAAGAGTGAAGTGTGACCTGACTGAGAAGTGGTTCAGGACATGATCCCACGGCTGAATGAAAGTGCATTTGCAAGACTTTTTTTTTTACATTCAACAAAGACGTATTGTTCTGAGGGTTTGTTTGTTTTTTTATCACCCAAGCACATTTGAACAATTCAGTTTTTTGGTTTATTTGTGATGTAGACACATGTATTGATTTCCTGTTAATATCTGGTGCTGAAACGATTTAAATACAAACACCTGTAGATGGCCAGATGTGAGATGCCTTTATTCCTTTCCTTAATTCTTATCCTTTGCATCCCTGACATTAAGGAGAAACGTGTTAGCTTTACACAAACACTGTTGTGTTAAGTCTCTGAGAAATGTCAGACTGGATATTTTTAAACTTTGGAATGGCAGACATTAGTTGTCCCGATTTGCTCTTTGATGAACTCTTATACAAACTCAGTGACTTTAAACAACAGCACATGTAAAAAAAAAAAAGGTTTCTCTTTAACATCATTTGTTTTTATTTACCTGCATGTTTCAATTGATTTCTCACCACTAATGTCTCACAATTGCACATGCTTGTAATTGATAAGAAGAAAACCACTGATAACCAAAATATCACAGCATTCCATGAGCTGCTATCCTGGGACAGAACTGTCATTGATGCCGTCTATTATTTAAATTGTGATTTAAATAATTACTTCCAGTCTGCCAACACTTCTGTTACTCCCCAGCTGGAGTCTAACTGTTCCCTTGAGGTGATGGACGATCTGACTTGGCATCATATAAACAAAAAAACAAAAAAAAAACTTTTTTTTTTTTTTTCAAAAGATGTCGCTCACCTTCACATTCTTAGTTCACCCATGTGCAATTGTGTTCACTGCATCGTCCCTTTGTTATCACTCGTAGGGCTGTCACTTTGCATCTGACGTGGTTAAGGCGTCAAATATAGGTCAGAATGTTTTTTTTTCCATCAATTACTCAACATTTCAGGCGGCCCCACATGTAGTCCTGACACCAAGGTCAAAAACCACAATTAATGCAAACTCCTGCGAAGGTCGCTGTAAGCATAAGCCAACCTTATCTGAAAGAAATGACAGCCCTACTGCATTAACTTTGACTCTTGCTGTAATACTCGCTCTGATTTTTTATTTTTTTTGCACTGTTTGACTTGTTAGTAAATGGATGATCCCCTTCTACAGGTTCCAAGCTGGGCCTGAGTGACGTACAGGCAGAACTGGACCGCATTTCCAGCCGGGAGACTGACTCAGACTTGACCAATGCCAACGATACCCCCGCCACAGATGGCCAGGACACATGAAGACCAACACATTTCACCCCACTCCCCTTCCCCGTTTCTCAGCCACCTTCCACTTCCCTCGTCCTTCCTTCTTTTGTCCAGCCTCAGCACTTTCTCCGTCATGAAGTTGTGGGAGAGGAAGGGGAAGCGGAGGGGTGGAGACGCTGTGTTTCCCCCGTCCTCTTTTCATTTCTACTGAGGATGAAGATAAAGATGTTGCTCTCTTTCCCACTAAATCATCCCCTTTACCCTTTAGTCCCACCCTTTCCTCTCCTCTCCATGTCTCTTACACTGAGGGCAAGTATCTGTCACTGTCTGGCTGTCTGTTACATGAGGGCAAATGGGTGTGGGGGCCATGAGTGAGTGATTGTGGGATCAGAAGGAGGGAGGGAGGGAGTGTGGGATAAAAAGGTTAAAAAAGACTGATCGTGACAGAAGTGATTACCCATCCATTTATTGCGATGGTATACAGTAGTGTTTTTACTGAAGGAGCGCATGTACAAACTGCACTTAGGTACTATAGGGACAGCTGTTTGTGTCTTTAACATATTTTGGGGAGTGATGCTTGGCCAGAGGAACAAATCATGAACAAAAAATATGCCTGAACAAATTGCAAACACTTTTTTTTATTTAATGAAGGGAAGAACTTACTAGTATTTGTATGTTTGGATGTGAGAAAGGTAGTGTGTGTGTGTGTGTGTCTGTGTGAATGAGGTAGAAAAACGAGGTAGAAAATGAGACTTAGTTGACATCGATCTACATAGTCATGTTAGATTTTTGGAGAATTTGCATTTCAACCAAGAAGCAAAAACTACACTAGAGTGGACACCCTAGATACGAGCTTCCCGAAATACGAGTATTCCATATTCCATGGTATGTGACTCTGCAACTATTGTAAGATTTTGCAATGTTACGAGTGCTGAACCAAGCTTGGTTATTTTACCAATTTTTATGACAATAATATAAAATGTTTTATTAATAATTATTTTATATAATATTGTTTATATTTATGTTTTTGATGTCCAGATAGGAGGAAAAATTAATAGGATATTTCTGGGAGGCTGTAACGAATTATTTGGTTTTTAGTTATTTTTATTGGGAAAATCGATCTAGATTGGTTTTTAGTTATTTTTAATGGGAAATTCGATCTAGTTACGAGAGTGCTGTTGTACAACGGATTAAACTCGTATCTGGGGAGTCCGCTGTGCTATGCTCTTACACTACAACCTCTTAAAAGGTGCATTAACTATTGTTACAGCAGCTGTGTTTGCTGTGAACACAAACCAAACTCTGTAAGGAAATACTACAAAATCAAAGGGTCATAATACAGTCAGCACACCGTAGGTAGAAGGAACCAGAAGTCTGTAATGGAAACAGTTCTGCCATTAGCTGTGGTGGTAAATACTGCTCAAGCCTGTAGGTTACAGATGGTGCACTGAACAGGAAGACTAGGTGGTTGGTGAGTAGCCGATTTGTACAAAAGGAAGCACTAGTGATTCTGTTTCATAATAACCGCTGGCAGGGTTACCAGGTGGGTATAGGGTGAAGAACATGGTGGGGTCGGGAGGGTCACATTTCGAATGTACAGTCATTGTCTCGCTGATTGGTCCTGTTATTTCAGAGCTGTGTGTTGGCGTTTGTATAATCAGATCTGTTAACCAGTAAAATAAAAGGTGTATTTATTCGGATTCATTCATCTGGCTACTTCTGTTTTTTCTTTCTATATTTTTGTCATTTAAAATCACTATCGCTGTAACTGCTGTATAGTTGAGGATAAGTAACACGTGGCCCCCCATAACAGGAAGAGGCTGGAAGTTGTAGCGATAGGTCAGTGGTTTCCAAAGTGTGGGGCACGTGGCAGACCAGGACAGACAGCCACTGTGTCAGGTACAAGTCTCACATTATCAACTATGTTCTTGTCCAGTTTCGTAGTCACATTAAAGGCTATTTGTCCATTTTGACCCTTATAAATATGTTGATCAAGTACAAAACAGTTTTCCAGTGGACAGACCTTGAGCGTCCATTTATAAGAGAGTGTATGCAGCACACAGTAGAAGAGTGAGGTGACTCGGACCACTGTGCACTGTGTCTCCAACCTAAAAATAGAATATTGATGAGGGTTCTTGAACAATCAATCAGGCTTTATAGGCCAGTCATCTGTGTTTGTGCCTTCATCGCAAAGCAGACAAATGAACATGAAGACAATTGAAAAATATTCACTTTTCAAGGTTAAAAATGCAACATTCTCCCACAGGTTGAGCTTTGTGCATATTTTTCCTTCATTATTGTATCTGTCTACATTGCAGACATAAATGGATGAATTCATTTTACACCTGCTCTGCCATCCCTCATGTCAGAATGAAACACCCCCTGCACTGCTCACTGCAGTGCTTTATATGCTGCGCCAGTGCTTTATTGTTACTACTGTCAAAAAGCCTCTGCTGAAATCAATCATTCTAATGAGAGATTTCACCACAGCCACGAATAAAAAAAAAAGTATCATCACACTATTGGTTACTTTGACTGCAGGTATTCGATCTGGGCAATTTATTGGTCTTACGATGCTATTTACACCATTTCAATCACTTGCCTCAATTGCTATATTGTACTTACTTTCTCCCTTCGATATAGGAATATAATATTTTACAAGTATCAAAAATGTCCATTCACATTTACAAATTTCATTTGACCTGTAGACCAAAGTGTTTGATCATGCGTGGCAGACTGTCTGTTCTTTTAGTTGTACACATGAGGGATGTCATATTTAATGGTTTGTTCATTTTATTTTTAAGAAATACCTTCACACTCCCCTTTACACAGTTATCGTTCAACTGTATTAGAATGTAGATGACTGATCCAAAAAACCAATACCTTTGAGTGAGGTTTTCCAAATACTATTAAGTTAATTGTTATTAATAAATTGAATTCATATTACTCGTGTTTACTTGTTTTTTATTTAACCCTTTTACACCCTGAGCAGCTCAGGAATCACGTTTCCTTTTGATGAATGCACCTCGCCCTTCCAACCACCAGAGCGAAAGGTATCGTGCATAATTTATAAATGTCAATGAAAAATAAATAAAAAAAATTATATGACCCTCTACATTGATACATAACACAGCAAAATGCAAAAGCGCTGTTGTCGAATAGTATTTTCAATAATAACTTATTTTTTTTCAAATTGGGATCTACTTTTCCTAGTGCGGCAGAATACCGTGATTTTTCTCTCCTCGCCATCTTGATGTTCTTTCGCACAAGCGGAGGCAACATCTTCGGCGGAGCAACAGCGGGTGTGGTTCGGACTCTTACGGGTGGTTCACCTAGCAGCGTTTTTTCCCTATTTTTCAGACCTGGTAAAAAAGAGGAAAAGCTCCCTGACAGAAACCACGGAGGAGCCGCTCGACTCTGGTAAAGAATATACGTTCACGCCATGTAGTGGTCTACCTATTAACAGGCGACTATTTTGCGTTTTTAACCTAAAAAATGCCGTTGATTGACACGGGGGCTCCAGTGGGGTTTTCACAGCAGGTTTTGTACGGTGGCGATCGGAACTACTTTTCATAGGTCCTAGTTGGCTAAGCTAATCAGAACACAATTAAATACTTGTGCGGTTTTGTTAAGAGACGCTACTGAGGTGATGAGGTGATATATTTCAGAAAGTACATGTACTACACTGTGTGTATGGATACGCCTTGGTTGTTTTGACTCCGTAAGTGACGCTGAAGTCAATGTTTGTTTATGTTAGCTAGTTAGCGCATTAGGCGATGGTTAGCTACCCATGTTATTAGCACCACCAGCCAACCTGTTAGCTTTAGAACGTTGACTCGTGTGTGTAAAACATATAAACCTTACATTCTATATAAATGAGGTATGTCGGTGTTTAATGTAACCTCTCGTGTTGTTGGGATAATAGCCTCTCGTGTTCTCAGCCACCATGAGAGGAGGTGGAGTCATGGAAGTGATTGCAGGGCGGAGGGGAGAGTTTCTCTCATTGGAAACCCAAGCTGTGAGGTCGGAACTTGGCCGTGGTGGTGCTGGTGGTGGTAGGGGGAGGGGGAGAAATATGCCTTTGATGTTCTTCGCCGCTGAATGGCGAATTGTGTTCGTGCTGGCCTGGAAATACCCACTGCTTTGCTCTGTCGGCTGGAGTCGGAGACTCGGCATTTCCCCTCTTGAAGCAACATTAGTGAGCAAAATAAGCGAACGAATCACGGGGAGTTGTCATAGGTAGCGCAGAAACCAGCGGGTTAATTATTAACAAGACCTCGTCGTAAAATCGCGTAGACGTCGCGACACTTCAGTTTCGACTCAGAGGAATTCAAGGTTGCTTGCAGATTCTCTCATTTCCGCTCTGTCTCCCTTTGATTTTCATAGACAAATCTGCTGTGAGGGCTGAGGGCAGGCGAGAACAATGGCTACTCAGTGTAAGTATGAAAAACTTCACAAGGTAGCGCCTGTTTTAATATTTAATGTTACAGTCAACATGGCCGATCACAAGTCATTTTCTGCACATACTCGAGGCCTTCTATGAATAAAAGGGATCATTTTAGCATTGGGGCGTTGCAGTATTTGAAAAAAAAAAAAACACACAAGGTTGAGCACAAGCCCCTCTCCTAAAATGTTTGCCACATGTAGAATCAATGCACCAAGATTTGTTACCACAAACAAATACACACCTATCAAGTTGTTAATAGTTTAAGGCATTTCAATCAATCAAAAGGTAGAAACTAACTTTGTCAGTCTCTTTTCTGCTTTGTGTCTATCTAAATACAACTCTTGCACATGTTGAGTTTGTCAGTGTTTTGTCAAAGTTTTGTCTGCCATTAGTATATAATATGCCCGACAAAAATGTTAATCTAATTTGTAGAAATAGCATAGATGATCTTTTGTGCACATCATCTGAGCTTTTCATTTTTTTATAAAACATTATTAAGAAAATAAACATAGCTGTCTTTAATGGTGCATTGCCAACTCCATGGCGCATGGCTTCATGTGTGAAGTCAGTCATATCTTTCAGTGTCAGCGATTACAGAGCACAGCTTGCCATAATTTGTCCCTAAAATTAGTTGTAGATATTTATAACTTTCTTTATTCTTTTGTTTTCTGATTACTTCTGTTTCACCCTTGTTTTTATTTGTAGCAGACTAAACTAATGACTAAGCTGCATTTATTGTGATATGTAAGTTATATGCAGGTGTAACATCTATATACTTTGTACTGAAAGTTTGCAATGGTTTATCAGCCTAGTATTTTTTATGAATGCACTGGTGTTGTTCTCAGACAATAATTCCCAAGACTTTTTCTTCATATTTTTCATACCTGATGTATTTTTTTATATATATATATAGCTGATTTGATGGAGTTGGATATGGCAATGGGAGACAGTAAGGCTGCTGTGACCCAGTGGCAACAGCAGTCTTACTTGGATTCAGGCATCCAGTCTGGAGTTACCACCACTGCGCCCTCACTGAGTGGCAAGGGCAATCCTGATGCAGAGGAGGATGATCCAACTTTGTACGACTGGGAGTTCAACCAGCCCTTCACTCCTGAGGCCACAGGTATTACTGAACTAGCGCCACTGATATCTGCCTGGTAATTTGTGAGTTTTAATCTATGATGTCGTCCTATGTTATCTAGACATTGAAGGTTATGCCATGACTCGGGCCCAGCGTGTCCGAGCTGCTATGTTCCCCGAGACCTTGGAGGAGGGTATCCAGATCCCACCAACCCAGCTGGATGCTGCTCACCCAACCGCAGTGCAGCGTCTGGCTGAGCCCTCTCAAATGTTGAAGCATGCAGTTGTCAACCTCATTAACTATCAAGATGATGCTGAGCTGGCCACTCGTGCCATCCCTGAGCTGACCAAACTGCTCAATGATGAAGACCAGGTATATAAACATGAAATCTCCTGAATAAAAATGTAAAATTATATTTGTTTGATGTATCAAAAAAGATTAAAACCATCATAATTATACATTTAGTTTTTTTATTTGATTCATTCATCTTGAACGGACATCTCTGTTGTAGGTTGTTGTGAACAAAGCCGCTGTGATGGTACATCAGTTGTCGAAGAAGGAGGCTTCGCGGCACGCCCTGATGCGTTCACCACAAATGGTGTCTGCAGTTGTTCGTGCCATGCAGAACACTGGTGATGTGGAGACTGCTCGCTGCTCTGCTGGCACTTTACACAACCTGTCTCACCATCGTGAGGGTCTCCTTGCAATCTTTAAGTCTGGGGGCATCCCTGCCTTGGTCAAGATGCTGGGGTAAGAAACTTGAAAGAACTGCAAATTTATACATTTGCATGTTTGTTGAAATGTATTAATGATTTTTAGTGATATAAGTGATATTTGCAGCATAACTTCAGTGTATGTGTTGTGTTAACATATTTCTATTTTTCCAGCTCACCAGTGGACAGTGTGCTCTTCTATGCCATCACTACCCTCCACAACTTGTTGCTGCACCAGGAAGGGGCCAAGATGGCGGTGCGCCTCGCTGGTGGACTGCAGAAGATGGTTGCTCTGCTGTCTAACACAAACGTCAAGTTCCTGGCAATCACTACTGACTGCCTGCAGATCCTGGCATATGGCAATCAGGAAAGCAAGGTATTGCACACCCTGCTCACCTTTGCATTTAAACTGGGTCTTTCATCTGTTTAATAAAAGTCTTTGATTTCTCCTGCATGGCCACATTTAGATGTGTGTATCAAACTAAGCTTTTCTCTTTTTAAAATTATTTTAAGCTGATCATTTTGGCCAGTGGTGGCCCCCAAGCCTTGGTCAACATCATGAGGACATTCACATATGAGAAACTGCTGTGGACCACAAGCAGAGTGCTGAAGGTGCTCTCTGTTTGCTCAAGCAACAAGCCTGCCATCGTAGAGGCTGGTATGTACTCACTTGTGGTATCGGCACTAAAATAAAACCCTAATGTTTAAATAAAATGACTTAGATATTCTTTATTAAGACACACAACTGTGTGGACTGTGATGACTTGAGAAACATTTGTGGTACTTTGCGTGCAGGTGGTATGCAGGCCCTGGGTCTTCATCTGACTGACCCGAGCCAGCGTTTGGTCCAGAACTGTCTCTGGACACTGAGAAATCTTTCAGATGCTGCCACCAAACAGGTAAAGTTGTCGTTCACTGGTTTACATGTGCATATTTTAGAAGTAGGTGCGGTTCCTTCATCAATGTACAAACATTTCTAGTTTGTGATAAACATTTTATAGCGCTACACATTGAAACTAAATACATGTTATATTACTTACTAGTTGTAGTAGCAGTGTGTTTTCTAATTATTGCTGTTGGTAACTACTTTTGTTCAGGAGGGCATGGAGGGTCTTTTAGGGACCCTGGTCCAGCTGCTGGGCAGTGACGACATCAATGTAGTGACATGTGCAGCTGGAATCCTCTCCAACCTGACCTGCAACAACTACAGTAACAAACTAATGGTCTGCCAGGTATGTGTCTCTCACACCAGCTGTATATAAAGAACTATTATGAAACTCTGTCTCTAATTACATATATTTAAATGACGGCTCTCCTCCTCTGTAAGGTTGGAGGTATCGAGGCTCTTGTGCGAACAGTGCTTCGTGCTGGCGACAGAGAGGACATCACAGAGCCAGCAGTGTGTGCCCTGCGCCACCTGACCTCACGCCACCAGGATGCTGAGATGGCCCAGAATGCTGTGCGTCTACATTATGGCCTGCCTGTGGTGGTCAAACTCCTGCATCCTCCATCCCACTGGCCACTCATCAAGGTTAGCGGCTCTCTTAGTTTTTTAATCACATTTATATGAATATGATTGAATTTTTATTGACAAATAAACATTTTTTTTTTTCCAGGCAACAGTTGGTCTGATCAGGAACCTAGCTCTCTGCCCGGCCAATCACAGCGCACTGCGTGAACAGGGTGCCATCCCTCGCCTGGTCCAGCTGCTCGTCAGAGCTCACCAGGACACCCAGAGGCGCACCAGCATGGGAGGAAACCAGCAGCAGTTTGTGGTGTGTAAACAAGCTGAGAACCCATTAAATATGTATTTAGTGTAACTAAATTAAGTGATTCATTTTTTTTACCCCTAATTTTCTTTCCTCTTAGGAGGGTGTGCGTATGGAGGAAATAGTGGAAGGCTGTACAGGTGCTCTGCACATCCTGGCCCGGGACGTCCACAACAGAATTGTCATCAGGGGGCTCAACACCATTCCACTCTTTGTCCAAGTAAAGCTAATACCTAATAATTTTTTTAACTGTTCTCTCTTGAATACTGTGAACGCAGTATGTGTGTCACTAACTTTTTTTTGCCAATCTCAGCTCCTCTACTCTCCAGTGGAGAACATCCAGCGTGTGGCAGCAGGCGTGCTTTGTGAACTGGCACAGGACAAGGAAGCAGCCGAGGCCATTGAGGCTGAAGGAGCCACCGCACCTCTGACAGAGCTGCTGCACTCCCGCAACGAGGGCGTTGGTGAGTAAACCTGTCAGAAATAGAACATTTCTTATTAACGGCGAGCGCAAAATGACTAAATAGGGTGTACTTGTTTCCCCCTCCTGTAGCCACCTACGCTGCAGCTGTACTGTTCCGTATGTCTGAGGACAAACCCCAGGACTACAAGAAACGTCTGTCGGTGGAGTTGACAAGCTCTTTGTTCAGAACTGAGCCCATGGCCTGGAATGAGGTACATAGTCAAATCAAATCTTATCTGCAGTAATCCTTTGGACTCTGTTTGAGAGCAGAGAAAGAACTTTTAAAGTCAAAACAAATCCAGGCCTAAATCTTGCACATCTAGATCCTGTGAGATTTAGCCTTGGATTAGAGGAAGCGATGATTCAGATCATTTGCAGCACATGCCAAAAGTTGCACTGTTCATAGTCTTGTGACTTTGAAGAACGTTTTGATACATTTCATGAATGAGTTCTATAGTTCTATCTATATAATTATAGCATGTTGATCATCGGAGGATGCTCTTGTAAGCTGCAGTGTTGAAGACATTCACGCTTTCTTTCTTTGATGTGCTATTAAATTGCCTCCTCCAGTAATTAACACAATGTAGTACTGTATTTTCATTTGTTTTTGACTTGTACAAATGGTCTGCTACAGCATTGCCCGTTTGTTTAAATGTTTGATGTGTGGTCTGTTCAGCTGTTTTTCTTCATACCACACATTTGACAAATTGTTAACTGTCTTTAGTGTGTTTTGTTTTTTTGGTTGGTTTTTTTTTTTTTTTCAAAAATAGATCATGAGCTCTTTTTCTTCTTATTGATTTTCTGTTGTGTTTACTACATCACTGGTCTTTAAAGGTCTGGGTTACTTTAATCTGATTGGCTCATTAGATATTTGCTTTTATATCATGCTATACATATACATTTTTAGTTGTGAATGAGTGTTGAATGTGACTGTTAAAATTTGAACGTACTTTGAGGTAATGTCTCATTCCTATGAAATGGTATTAGTAACCTTCAGTGAGGAACAAGTAATTACACTGACCTGTGGCCATGACAACTTGACAGACTGTGTTCTTCTTTCCTGGTTTAGACTGGAGACCTGGGACTGGATATCGGTGCTCAGGGGGATCCTCTGGCTTTCAGGCAGGACGGTGAGTGACATTTTCTCATATTTAAGAGTCTCCTTTATCGATCCTCCATTAAATGTTCGCTGTTAATGTAATTTTACCTCTAAGGTGGATCAAAGGTTTATTATAACATGACTATTTTTGTGATTTGGGGGTGAAAATGTGTTCTAAAGTTATTGAATTTATTTCAGATGCAGCCTACAGAGCCTACCCATCAGCCTATGGTCAGGACGCCCTGTTGGACCCCATGATGGAAGGTGCAGACTACCATGCCGACACTCTGCCCGACCTGGGCCACCACACTGACCCGTTGCCAGACCTCGGCCACACCCAGGACCTGATGGACAGCAACCAGCTGGCCTGGTTTGACACTGACCTGTAGGATTGGTACGACGCATTTAAAACCAAACTCTTAAATCAGTTTTCCACATGATAAGCACTGTTCACTCATTATTTCACTCACTTATTGTATTTTTTTTTGTTTTCTGCATGTGTTCTTCCACAGTCATACTCTGATAGAACCTGCATTGTGATTTGACCTGTACAGTGTGAAGCAGCATTGTGATTGGCCTGTTAAGAGTTGTTGAAGGTAATGAGTGAAGTGAAGGGTCTCGGAAAGTGCCTGACACCAGAAAATGAACAAGATGGTTACCACAGGATTGTCAAAGCAAGTTGAAAACAGAGGTAAAGAAAGGGTGACGATTGAGGTGGGGGTTCAATGGCACAATGGAGCAGGTTACCTATATACAGTAGACGAATGCACATGAGGTGGATCTTTCAAGTTTGAAACACATGTTTTAGCCTTGCCTGTATTATCCATTTTTTGTTCCTATTTTTTCTTATTCTATTTTTTTTAATTTCCTTTTTTGTAATACTCATTCTCTGTCATGGTACTGACCCAGCTTGCCTTCACACTAGCCATCTTTATTTTCTCTTCATTCTAATCATTTGTAATTTTTTTTAAAAAAAACGTATATTACATGTAGTGTTTAAGTTATAGTGATATTATACAATGTTCCTTTGGTTTATGGCCGAATGTGTAGAACACTAATAATCAGTTGAATTGTACTCTGAATTAAAGTGTAACATTGTGTAGTTTTTTTATAATCTCAGAAATGGAGAAATATGCATTCTTAATATGTGCTTGTTTAAGCATAAAAATATGTCAGTGTCACAAATGTTCTGAAGAGGGACATGGGTGAAATTGAGGGAGGGGTTGGGGATAAATCTAGAGACAATTGTTTTATATACAGTATCACTGGTAGGTTAACAACTATTTTGTATGCCATCATTGGATGTCTGATAGAAACGTCTTTCCCGCTATCGTTGGTGGTCTAATAAAACCCGGTTTTATGTGCTGTCCAGGGTAGCTAGGCTGACGAAAACAGTTGTAGTCCTGCTGTTCTTATTTTGGAGACGAGGTTATGACACGGCTGAACAATAAAATGGCATTTTATTTCATCTGGTCTGCTGTGTCTTCTGTTCTTGCATGAAAAAAAAGGTTAAAGATGTGTGATGTGACCCAGCTAGTGTCCCCAACTGTTTAGGTTTTTATAAAGCTGCTTTTGTTTTGATACCACTATTTTAGAACCATTTTGACTGTTTTTTTTTTTTTAATGTATGTTTTATTTCCACCTACGTCGTCTCCAGCAGATGGCGCTCTTTCCATGCAAAGTGTCACTAAGAAAAACAGCATGTGCTTTTAACCTTTAAAATGCTATATATATATTTGTGGAATCAACTGACTGAAAGTTAAACCAAATTACTATGAGTTAGTCTTAAAGAAAATAAATTATCAGCCAAAGTTTAAATATTGCCTGCCTCTATTTCAACTACACAAAATGGAAAATTAAATGAAAATATTGTCATTTATTATTATTTAACCCTGCAGTGGAACTAACATTAAAGAGATTTTATTTTTAAATCAAGAGTTGAACAGTGTCATACATACACTGGTTAATAACATGGCCCACAATCACTATGTTGTTATAACTATTACATTTCACAAATATTATACAGAAGTGGGATTTAAATATTAAAAGTATTTTTCAACCATCAGTACACGGGGCTGCAGACAAAGGCTGGTGAAGAGGTGACAATCACAGGAATGTGACTCCCTCATTAACAACAATGGTGGCTTTGGTTACATTCCAGTGGTTTTCACCTCATCTGAGCATCAATCAGTTCACAGTCAGTGGCGTAGGCCGACGACAGAAGGGCTTTATTCACTTTTCATGGAACCATTTTCTCAGCACTGCAACATAATTTCAAAATAAACTAGTGATCCAAAGAGTGAATCGTGTCAATCACTACTGCATTAGTAATTGTGTTATCAAGAATGTCCGTGGGGTTTCTAACCATTGGAAGAGAGAATGAAGTAACCTGTTTACAGCAGAGTCGTCATCAAAATGTTCCAGTAAACTGTCAGGGTGATTAAGAGTCACTGATCTTTAACAGTCTGCTGCTTTTGTCAGACAGTCTTGGTCTTAAAGACACAGCGTCAGTTTAAGACCAAGGTGAAAACAAGAAGTTCATCTTATCTGTAAAAAAAATTGAACTTTTACAAGACAAAATAATTATGTAGAGCTTGCCTGATTTGTTCAGAGCCCACTCACGACTGCTACATAAAAGAGGTCAAAGGTGTCCAGACCCTTAACAACAGGTCACGACTCTGAACAGATCTCAGATCAGCTGAGCGGCTCACCTTCAATCAGAGACAAATAGATTCAGCTGCTGTCGTGTCGTCTCTCCTCTGCTCAAAGTGACTCCTGCGATGACCTGATGCAGCAGCTGAAGCAGTCTGTTGTCCAGAGCAGTCAGAACAGGTAACAGGGTCATGCATGTGAATGGGGATCACTGATGTAAATCACCTCCATCAGTAAGTGGAGACTAGATGTTGACTGAGAAGCAGTGATGGTGTGAACAGTCAGTGTGTGATTAGGTTTCTCTTCAGATTGTCACTCAGTTCCTCGGCTGTTTATTCTAAAAAAAAAACCCTCCTTTATTTGGCTGGTAAATTTAACACCAAACTGCATTGTAATCATTATTACTTTCAAAACTATCTCACATTAAGTGTGATTAAATATAATTAACGTCCTAATGTCCTTGGAATATTTGACCATCAGAATATGATTTAAATCTATTTGTCTAATCAGGTAAACATCTTAATTTATTTATTATGGAGTAATTGGCTGTGTAAAATAGTTAAAATATAAAAAAAATAGTTGATTCTGGTTACTAACTACTACTACTAACTTAGTATGAGTAAAATGAGATACATTAAAATATGTAAAAACTTGTTGCCTTCTCTGCCTGTTTTAATCTATCTGTAATGTTTTTTGATCTAAGAATCCTGTTGTAAACCTCAAATCAAAATGTAAACAGAGGTGTTGTGGGTAGATCAGATCAGACACACTCTGAAATGCAGATGAGGTGTTTGGAATTTGTTTCTCTGATCACTGACTCCACCTGCCTCATTACCTGCTCATCTGCTTGTGAAAAGCTCCCCATTAACCTGAGGTGCCCACCCTCTAGTGTTCCATTGTCCAAACTGGACTTAAACCCGGGGGCGACCGCCACAGTCACACACTTGAACCCAGTCATCCACGACGGCAGACAGGAGCAGCTCAGTGTTGGAATATTGGACTCCCCAGCAGACGAGATGCAAAACAGAAGACAGAAGTTCGGAACCCAGCTCCACTTGGACGTTCTGTTCAGGAAGTGTCCCACTTACTTGGCCAAGATCGCTGTCGTCCTCCAAACAGCTCCAGGAAAAATGCTCACTTTTACTCAGGTAAGAAATGCCAGGTGTTTGTGCTCACAAGTTAAACCCTGTACCTTATATTTAACCCCCAACTATCTAATGTTACCAGTACTAATCTTTAACCTCTGATGTCCCACAGGTGATGGACAGGCTGGTACCTGTCCTGAGTGAAGACAGGAGGTCAGTGGAGAACAACACCAGGGTCTGTTTGTCCACCTACTTGTGTTTTATTAAGGTAAATATTCATTCAAAAAGTTTGAATATTTTATATGATCTTACTAAAATACTCCTCATCTGGAAAATACACATCTTAACTGGAGTTTTGTCTTCAGATTCCAGTGGTTCCAAATTCACCTCACAGCAAGAAAAACTACTGGAAACTGGACTCCAGTCAGATCACGGCGAAGATGGTGCGTCGTCACTTCAGAGGAATCCTGCAGCTCTTCCCTGAGTTGGCCACCAAAATGGAAACCGAGGCCTGGAGTGCACCCTTAGTGCCCTGCTCGGCTCTGCACTCTCCTGAGCCTGCTGCCAGGAAGTCTGAAGAGAACAAATGTGAGGCCAAGTTCAGCAGTCCATTCTCCATCGAATCCCTCCTCAAGAGGGACAGTCCAACATCCAGGTCTTCCAGACCCCCTCCACTCTCGAGTGTTCAGGTCACTCAAGTCGGAATAAAGAGGAGCCTTTGCTGGAATTCTGCCGAGACTGTCCTCCTGCAAGCTTCACCCGGAATTACCCCTGTTTGCTCAACAGGGGGCAGCACTCACCAAGGACTCGTTGCTAAAAGGATGCACCTGAACTCAGAGCCTCCGTTCCCTCTCTACACAAGAGCAGATCCATATCCCAGCAGCTACATCACATACTCTGTACCAGCATTTTCCCATGATGCTCTCTGTTTTCGCCTGTGATTTTTGTTTTTTTCCTCTTGGTCTATTGCACTTTTATATGTTTATATTTGAGTGGGACGTCCAGTACTCTTATTCAGTCTTTTCTTCAGGCACACTTGCTGATTGTGTCTGCTCCAGTGTAAATACTTTAGGATTTGTTATGAAAACAGTTCCTTGCATTGCCGGAAGTTGTACATTTAGATTCAGGTGATGCTGTGTTCGATAGACGAGGAGTTGTAAGAGTTGTATGAATTTTTATATATTTTTTTAAAAATGATTTTTGTCCGCATTGACCACTAGAGAGCATACTTGTGTTGTGTAATTGGAACGCAATCCTGTTTTGCCTAAAAAGATTAAAGATGTTTTTCCACTTCTTTCTTTCATCCATTGTGTCGTTTATAAAACAGAATAGTTTGGTTTCTAGAATGACAAAACTAAATTTCTGATGTTTCACTGTAAAATGATTGATATCATTAATTGATCTCTATTTCTTTTTTATATATATATTGTAGCCCTCCATGTTGTACTTCAAGGCTGTGGTCACTCCATTAACCCGCTGACATGATTTTCGGGTGAGTGACCTGCGTGGCGAGTTTGAGCTGAGCAAATATGCCATAGATGTAATCTGTTTACTTTTCTATTTGTAGAACATGTACAGCACACAGGGATTGTCTTGTCTGAACTTTAACCCACTTCATGTAAAAACATTTACCTTCAAAATTGGTGACTTAAAAACACTAGACAGAAATATTAAAGGAATTCAAATAGTATAATATCGTAAAAAGAAAAAAGGGGAAGTATGGTGAGATATTCCAGTACCTGGAAGATGTTTCTAATCTATAACTTCAGAGTGAGGCCTTGTCTTTGACATGAATTATCTTCCACCCTAATGCTGCCCTCTGGCGTTGAAGCCAATCACTCTAATAATGTGAGGTCAAATTCATAACACTTCATGCCCACTGTAAAGCATTTTTCATGCTCAACATTTTCTTAGAGATAACATCAGAGCGTCTAAGTAGGTCTCGTAGTCACCAGATTGCACCATGGGAAGGCTGTGTCACGTGACAGGAGCTACAACAGAGTTAGGGTGAGCCCGGTAATCGCCGTTGTGTACCCACAACATATTTCTGACCTCAGTGATGAAGATGAGCCCCTCTTAGTCTCCCAGTCATTTACACCCAGAGTCTTTGGCAGTCAGACAACTCAGTGCAGCATGTGACTGAATTGATGACAATAATAAATAAGTAAATGTCGAGAGAGGAAGGAGGTGTAAATACAGCCAAAGGTCAGTTCCAGCAGGTTTGACATGCCCCTGGGCAAAACACCAAAACCTCATGGTTTTAAAAAAATATATAAAAATTATACAGATTATTGATAGAGAATGAAGCAGCCATAAACCATCCACCCCCATTGGTACTAGATTACTAGAGATTTAGATAGGAAAATGAAGTGCTAGAGTTAGAACAAAGTTATAACACTGAGGTTAAATATTAACTAAACCTTTTCTATTTGTTATTGCGTCAGGAAAAAAAAACTTTTCTGCTTACGTGTTTTTTCTAACTTTAAGGTGCATTTTCTATGTATTGCATTTATTTTTTAAAACTTATTCTGCATTTTCTATGTATTGCATTTATTTTGGACTTTTGCTAGAGTTAGAACAAAGTTATAACACTGAGGTTAAATATTAACTAAACCTTTTCTATTTGTTATTGCGTCAGGAAAAAAAAACTTTTCTGCTTACGTGTTTTTTCTAACTTTAAGGTGCATTTTCTATGTATTGCATTTATTTTTTAAAACTTATTCGGACTTAACCATTCCTCCCTATCCTTTTTAAAAAGCAAAACTTTTACATATATATTTATTTTTACGTTTTTTCAACAAATCCATTTGGTTTGCATTGAGTACATGTGATTAAACTGAGTGGATATTAATGACTCAGTTATGGTAATGAGTGCAATCCTGCAAAACTGTTTACTTCATGTTCTCCACCACTACTATCACCATCACTACTTCGGTTTCTGTCCGACGGCTCCTTTGTAAATAAACTTCCCGTTGTCTCGACAGTCACAAACAAAGTCCTGACTCACTGTGAAAGGTGTGGCACGGGGACGTCAGAGGATACACACGTCCCATGTTCACTTCCGTTAACAGCGTTCATCCACCACCAAACAGTCACGTCGCACTCGTCTTACTCGTCCTGACCACGCCCCCTTGTCTGCTGACGTCACCCACTTACTGTATCATCAGGTTTCCTCATTGAGCCTGTGCAGCAGCAACGACAATGAACTATAAATACGGTATAATGTGGTTATTATTGTATTAATGATATTATTTTAATTAACATTTATTAATTATAAAATATGTCATTATTTTCTATTTGTATGGTTAGTGTAACTTAAAATATTATATGCAAAAAACAAAACAAATAAACCTGAATCTGAAAGTTAAATTTGTAATTTTATTAAAAAACAATTATTATTGTAAAACTACTATTAATAATAAAGTTGTACAACTGCTGCTGCTTACTACTCCCAAAAATAACGCAATAACCTATTTTACTGCTATTACTAAAAGCCTGCTAAAAATATTTTTTTTAAATAGAAAAAACAAACTTTTTCCAAAATCAAAGCAGGAGTGACCTTTGAAGTACAGTTGCGACATTGTAGGAACATTCCACCTGACTTCAGAGTGTGTTTGTTAATATAAAAATCATTAACAGCTGGCGAGGCAGACAAAAACACGGACACCTCCACCAATGTTTTGTTTAAAATTCCCAACAGTAATTGTTGTTGTAATTCAAACTCCTACGGTCTTATAACTGTATAACTAACTATATATAGGCCAACAGGCCTTGTTTTCTAACCCTGATCTGTAGCAGCAGTTTGAAAGTACACACTGGGCCGTCAGGGCAAATATTTCTTGTGATTATTGTTTCTTTGAAGACAAAACAGCTGCAACGGTTTCATAATCAACACTGAAGCTTTCAGAGTAGAAACTCCCCCTAAGTTTCTCATCAATTCAAACATGCCTTTCTTCAGCCAATGACCTTTGAACTTCTGCAGTCCTCATCTGACTGGGCACATTGCCACTGAGAAGAAAGCTAAAGTTGTGACCAATGTGTTCTAGTAATGTAGGTTTTAATGTAATGATGAAATAGTTGGATGTTTAATGTCTAATTGCTAACTTTAGACGTGAGATCAAGGACATGACTTTCCTTTGTGGCCTTTGTTCTCTCCTGTTGACTTGTGGAGTGTGCTAATGTTGTGGGAAACTGAGTGTCCTTGGCCGAGGTTGCTGCTCTCACAGTTCTTTCACTAGATGTGTTTTTTAGAGGAAGTGAATACATTATTAAATGCCTATTATGCCCCCCCTCACCTCCCCAGCCTTTTTTATTTGTCCCGCTCCCCCCTGCGTGCCTCCTACACCCCTATTTCTACTAATAACGTCTGCATTCATCCACATGCACCTCCCCTCCACCACACTAACCTAACCATTTGATATAATCCCTGTTCTTTTTTCTCCAGCTCCTAGCGCAGCGACTCCATCCATTTCTACTGTGTAGTACAGTGAACGGCGTTGTGCAGCGAATGTCCTCAGTATTGAATCTCACAGACTTCAGTCTCGCCCACCAGCTAACATTCCTGTCACCATGACCTCACATATTTACCTCAGGAATTAAATCAGGGGCTGGTTAGGTGCAGTTTCCACTTTGATACTTGCTCCATCCCACTGCTGGAATGTGTTGGACCTTAATGCAGGGAAAAAAAGTTTTGTTTCTTTTATTAATCTTGGTTTACAGACAGATAAAATATCTGTAGAGGAAGACATATGACAGACTGTACAAAGACGGCTCTTCTAGTTTGGTTTTTTCCACGTGATCAGAGCTAAGGAGTTTACAAGCCAACCTTATTTTGCACATGCCACACAGTCAAAGCCCACAGTGTCTGCTGTCTCCTCTTCACCCCACCGTGTCATCAGTCCATATTGTGCTTTGACATGTTACAGTTAATGTGGCTGTTGTGGTTGTTAGTGGTTACAGCTCACTTTAACAGTATCAGTGCTGCTCGGAGGATTCAATGAGCTCCAATCCACTCTTTGTTTTTATGTAACATGAGGAATGCTCATCATCACATTTATGCATGTAATCGAGCAACTGACGCCACCTATGGATCCACTTGGTGATTGGTGGTTATTTTCTTTTTTCTTGCATGACTGATAGAAGTGTACAAATCTGATTGTCACTTGATGGCATTGTTCATAACAGTTTGTTCTATTTCTACAACGTGAACAGACGTGCACTCGGTCGCCGGGCCAACGAGTTGTTTATGTCCCTTTTCTAGACACAGTCTTTAATAATTAGACAGGCTCGTTTGTCTCAGTCCTTTGCGATTGAGTCAGCTGACTGTCATCAGTGGTTATGTGACTCCAACCTGTGACTCTAACCTTTAAAAACAATAACTTATATATATATAAAAAACGATCATAGTTTTTTTTATTTATTTTTGTTATCACCTCACTGTGTTTTTTCCGACCAACGTTCTCAGATTGCTATTTCCCTCAGGGGATCAATAAATGATTGTGATTTCTGTGATACGGACGTGCTGTTGTGGCTGTTGAGTTAGTTTAACCTTTGTTATGAGAGCGATCATAGACCAAGCTTGCAAATGTTTAATTGGGACTGTTATGCATCACTAACATGTACTCAGCGATGGTTAGTCACACAGTAACAACCTTATCAACACCAGGAGACGGGAGGACGTTCTTATCGTGGATCGAACTCCACTTCATTGAAATAATCAATATTGAAAAATAAAGGCACTTTACATCTCAGGTCAACTGTGGTTGGACCATAAATAAGTTAAAATACATTCATAAGAAGACATTAGAACATGTTCTCTTGAATAGGAAAATAAAGCACACACTGGTCTGACTATGAATTTACAATCAGTGATGGAAGAGAGACAGGGCAAAGTTAGCCTGAAATAAGAATAACAACAATAAAAAATAATAATAATAAGCTTGTATTGTATTCAATTTCTATATCAAGAAACTATATAGAGACATAGTATTATGTGTGTTTTTAAATAGTTCTGACAGTGAACTTGTGCTGGACTTTTTCTTCTATCATTACCTTTCTAACTAGTTTCCTCCCCGTAGACATCTAACTATAACCTAATGCAAAGTGGAGCCACATCAGGTTCAGTGTCACTTGTTTACCACTGTTGTGCTGGGATCCACCCAGCACCGATACCCCCGACACACTCTATCTGGTTAACAAGAAACATACTGTAACTGGGCCGTGGAGTGTGTGTAATCATCCATGTGAACAGTCCTTTTATCAACTGCTGGTAAACATTCACCACAGGAATCATCTTTGTTTCTGAGTCACAGCTTGTCTTCTACCTGCAACTCAATGTAACGCACAAAAATTTGACATCACTTTACAGCGTCTTTACTACGTGACCTACAAGCATGCACCATGTCACATGTGTGTGAATCACCCATTCTTTGAGGCCTGTTGCATCACTACAACTGGTTGAATCCAGATCAGATGTGTAAACTCACAGACGGGTGTGGGTTTGGAGTTTAACTCCGTAGTGAGCACCGTAGTGAGACGCCAACAACATAATTATATTGAATTAAGTGTAACTGTCTGAGCTGTAGATCTGACTCTACCCTCACTGGATTTTACTCTCTCTTTTGTCTGTTCTGCGAAACAGTAGAAATCAGATAGACTTCGAGAATGTTTTACTGAAGTAGATATAGATAAAGAGGCAGGAGATTCAGTTTCTGTGATACTTGATGTCAGTTCTACTGGGAGAAGAGTGGGAGTAGAACAAGAGGAAGAGTGAGCAGGAAAATCAGAGCAAGACCCGACATGCTCTACATGACAAATTCAACAGGGAGGACGTGCAATGACAGGAGAATGTGTCACTTAATAAAGCCATCATGTTTATATTATGTGCAGGGCCTCCATATCAGAGTAACTAATGCGTATCTGAACCATTACAGACCAGCATATATTGTTGAAAAAAGTCAATTAAAAAAAAAAAACGTTTATACCAATGTAGTTTATACCAAAACATGCTACCACTTATTTACCATTTATTTACACTTTTTTACCAACTTATCTTAACATGTGTGATCTTGGGATGGAGGGTCCTGGAGTCATATTTAATGTTGCCTTGTGGAGGTTGTCAAACACTGTAATCAGTCTGGTGAAAGTCCACGGCTTTTATCAAGTGTTGAGACACTGCGACCCACATCTGCTGCACTAAATCTCCCTCAGTTGGCAGTTTGGCTCAGCGCTATCTTTATCTCACTGTGATAGTAGCGTGAGGGAGTGGTGCACAGCCAGGTGTAATGCCACTGTTGTCCTATAGGTGTTTGTCTTATGTGCGAATATTTATTTTTGTGACTTGTGACGATCAGCCTCACGCCTGCCGTTCTTTGTTTTACCCATTTAGCAGCGTGCTACGAGCGCCTCCAAATTAGCATAGTGCTATTCTTTTTCCCCTCCAATGCGCCCATTGTTGGACAATCTGACATTCAAGGCTTTGCAGTGAAAACTCACAGTGCGGCTATTGTCTGTTGACAAGGATCTTTCACACACCCAATGTGAAATCCTGTGCTTATTGCACATTCACAGTGTTACAGCCAGACGCCGGCAGGTGTGGAATTTTCCATGGACATCCCTGCAGTGTAGTTTATGCTTGGTCAGTGAAACGAACACATCTGAAATACTGATAATAACAATAAAAACACAGGAGGTGCTGAGGTATGGGATTTAACCTCAACACTCACATTACATAAGCTGAGCTATTAAGAGATGTCCAACCCCAAGGGGGCGCAACAACCACTGATTGTAAACGCAAACTCACAAGGGGGGGATTAGCATCAGCTGAGATGTCTGGCACGGCTGGCCTCAAAGAATCATCCATACAGCGCCACCAGGAGGTTCTCCAGTGCAATCTATTATTGATTCCTGTAGAACAGTATTTCTGAAATACGGTCAGCTAATAATGGGTCAGCTGCTTCCAATGGAATATGGTCCACTGGACATAAGTGTACCACTGCTGTAATGCTTGAATGATAACAATCTTCCAGTCACTAGGTGGCAGCAACTCATACAGTGGTTTGTAGACATAAAAATATACATGTTATCAGGTTCTCAATAGTATTTCAATTTGTGCAGGGTGGGGGTGGGGGTAGGGGGGTATATGTGAAAACATTTCTGTCCCCACTGCTGTAGAACAAGCTCAAGTGTGGTCCAAGTTGAGGGAAGGGCTTTCCCTTTGTTCACACTTATCTCCCCTTGGTCCAAATGGAGGTTTGCAGACCTGGCTTTGTTCCTGGTCCCCTGGGCCTCAAACAGCTTCAGCAGACAATTGCATCTTTATAAAACATCAAGCTGTGTGAGACTAAACAAGTGAAAAGGTACCATTAAGGAACACGCCCCCCTGCTTTAGAGTGGGAATAGAGTTATTAGTTCAGCTGTCCACACCCTGTCAGAGCAGAAAGGAGAGAAAAGAGATACCACCCAACCATGACATGCTGAACGTGTTGGTCACAGGACGTGATGACACATTACCGCTGTGCTAGGAGTTTCTTCATATTTCACAATGATTTTCTTTTCATCATTTGTTAAGAGTCTTTTTTCTGGTGATACTACTGTGTACTATAAGCAGTCAAATACCCACAATACAGAATGTGCAGTATTTGGTGAGTTTTTCTCTGTGTAGGTTCTCATCATCCAGGTCATTTAATCCAAAAATAGTTACATCGAGGACAGTGAATGAAGCAGGTTTTTTTTAAAGACGTTTCACCTCTCATTCAAGAGGCTTCTTCAGTTCTGACTGACTCCTGGGAAGTTGTGGTATTTAGCCTCAAAGAGGAGGACAAAGGGCACACTATTGTGGATGAGGATGAAACGTCTTCAAAAAAACCTACTTTGTCCAGTTGTCCTCGATATAACTATATCTGGATTAAATGACCTGGATGACTGAGAACCTACACTTTACATTACCCTGCTCTGCCCTACTATGACATAACATCTGAACACAGTTGGAGATTCAAAATACGGAGCAGCTACCAGTGGTTTGGTAATCCTGTGATTTGTATAGGACCCGGGCTGAAGTATCTTCCCTGGTGAATCATTACTACTGTCAGGCTGTTCATCATGTAACCACTGGAAAGAGTGGACCTGCTGCTGCTGCTGCTGCTGCTGCTGCTGCTGCCCAATGGAGAGAGAGAGCAACAGGAATAGTGGGCCGGACTTTTCCCTCCCCAGCCTTTATAAAAACTCCCTCTAACATCCGCCTTGAGCAACACGTTATAAACAAAGCAACGCCTGCCCTCACACTGCAACTGTCTGCTCTGACGAGAGTCACCGAGAGGCAAAGAAGGAAAGACACAAACACGTTTTTGGGGACATTCTAAGAGAGGAGCACTGGTCTCAGGACAATCACAAGTCAAACCCACAGGTAGGTCACTGCTCACAAAGTATTTCAGTTTTTAGTTTTTTCATAACTCACTGGCCGTGCAGCAGGTCTGAACATGCTGTCAGTCCTGTTTGTCAGCAGATCCAGTTGTCAGTGCAGGAAACCATGGCTTGAATTTATCAGAACGCAAATGATCAAATCTTTTCTTCACACTTTTTAAGTCAAGTTATTAGAGCGTGTAAACACATTCAGAGAGAGCTAAGGTATTGAGGAACTTGAAGTAACATGTGACAGATGTGAGAAGGAGGAAGGAGCAGTCAGGGAGGTGGGCTCCTCTTTGATTTAAAGCTTCAGGGAGAAAACAAAAACAACAGTTTAAATGTACAGTTGTTCCAACAACAGTAACCCTGGTTGGCTACAGGCATGTTTGGCCTCCTGTGTGGGATACATGTCAACCCTGTTCCCACATATGGGTTGATACTTATGGGTCCCAGGTCCTGGACCTTTCGTCCAGCCCTCCACCCATATGGGTAACAAATACAAGCACGAGGCAGGGATCTGAAACATCATATTGTTTATTAGTTTTGTCACTCTGCCAACAGACTGAACTAATGAGTAATGAGTTATTTTAACAACTGATTGTTTATTTTTTTATTAGAACATATATATAATATATTTAGTAATTTAACTCAGTCTTTAGTCCATGCAGTTTTGGAAATGAGCAAAAAAGTTTTTGTTAAACCTTAAAATATCTTTGTTTGAAGTGTCAAAAAAATTCCAAATTTTACATAAAAAAACCCCAAATATAAAAACACAACAATTCAGCAGTGAAGTGTTTGTATCTGTGACTAATAATCCAGGACTGACATGTTGGGACTTGTTCTGTGGGCCGCGTACAGTTTTCCCTGTTCATTCCGATGTTTGAGGAAATCCATTCTTCAACTCCGTGTTAAAAGATCACGACCCTGCCCCGATCACAGGAACACACAGGAAGTGTGACGGTGGTGCTTCAGGAGACATCTGCCGTGGCCACTTGAATCAGAACTGAAATTGTTTTTCTGTGCATGAAAACCACTCAAACCACAGTAACACCCCCTCCCCCACCCTCTTATGCAAAAACACAAACAAAAAAGCGACTTTGTTTTTTACATTTTACAATCTGACGGCGTAAGACTGTCCTGTTGCTGAGCAGCTGCATTGATATGTCAGGGATTCCACCGATTAAACCAAGTTAAAGATTAGAGAAGCAATCATTGTTTCTGCAGATTGATAGCTCTGGATTTGTGGATTAAAAACATTATTGTGGGCTGAGAGCCTGGCTTTGAATCTGACTGCACATATGGTTCTCTAAGCTAACACAGAGGGAGAGATGTTCTGCTATAAAGTACTGTACCTAATTTGCTGATTTGCTGCGGAAGACGAGCACTAATGTGTCACGCACTCCAGCCTGACTGTTGTTGTTATTGTCTTCTGAAGCTGGGAATAACAATATCACAATGTCAACTCATGACTGTGTTTGAAACTTAAGGAAATGATGGACTGCGGTAAAGAAGGCGTGTTCAAGCTCTGGCCCGGGAGCCGACAGTTGAGCCCTTTGTTATGCGCTCTACTACTACTTTCATAGCATACATTTTTGTGGCCTGACATCAGGGCAGATAATTCCCTTTTTTCTTCTCTTTCAACTACCTTTGAACCATTTCCTGTACACAGTACTTTTGCTCATACCTACGTCTGTAACCCGTCTGTACTTTGCGCCCCCCACCAGGACAAAGTACACCCTGAAACTTAATGTGATACAGTATATCGTGTAAATCCAGAATCAGCAGTGTCTGGAGTGGTTTGTATTCTTTGTCATGCACGGTATTTGGTTCTACAGCTTCAGGATCTTCTGGAGACTGTATCCTCCCACTGTTTCCTGCTCATGATTGCATAACACAGTCCTTCTTCTGCCAGGCAAAAGCTGCTTCAGTCAATAGTGTTTTCTTCTCCGCAGCCTGTCATTTCTGACAACAACAACAACAAAAAATCCACGCTCTCACCCTTTATCTGTCTGTCTGTCTCTCACTCTGACACAAACACTCATGCACGCGCGTTTGTGAAGGTGATATGCAGTACATGCAGGAACTGGTTTGACCTGGATAGAGAAGTTGCCAGTGACACCCGGGCCAGTTTGGAGCGAATCCAGTTTAAAGAACCCCCCGCTGCAGCAGCATAGAATCTCTGTGAGAAAAACATTGGTTGCACAAACACCACTTCTCTTCAACAGGCAAAGTTTCAGGCAATTCAAAGTAATTCACAGGTTTGCGCTGCTTCTTTCATCTGGCTATAACGGAACTGTTATTACTTTATAGGTCATGCAAATCCTTTATGTAAAATGTTCCGCTACGCTGTAGTAGCACACACCACTTCTATGTTTTGCTGTGTACGCCATCCTATTACCACGATGCTAACGGCTAAATAGAAGGACAATAATGATTTGAAAAGCTGAGCTACGACCAAGAAGAAGTTAAGAGTTTGTCACAAAATAAGTCTAAGGTTGTGAATTGACAAAAGTACTATAAATATTGAAAAAAAAACCCAACAAAACAAAATAACATTAAAGTTTAGCAAGAAATGGTAAGAAAATAAACTAGGCTGTTTGGATAAATATAAGGTAAAAGCTAAAAGATTAGCCTTGAGATGAATTTAAGCCGAGATGTTCCCTTTTGAAAAAATGTCCATCAAGGCTTCTGTAGCACATCAAACAAATGCCTCATAGTATTTTCCAACATTTTGTAAAATTCCAAAGATATACAGTATATTTCACAGGAACAACAATGCCATTCTCTCCTATCCTTGTCTGACTCTTTCTGACAGCCTTTTAAACACGGAGTTGTTTGGTTTTCCAACATCATGGTGATCGGTGAACACGCCTCCTCTCACATGGCAGAGGAATCTCAGTGGGTGATGATCTCTTGTCCTCTCCAACAAAGCGCCCGCAGTGTGATGACGGCCGTGGTGTTTTGGTGCCTCAGCAGAAAAATGAATCTGTTGTTTGATTCTGCCCTTCCTCTGTGCTGCTGCTGTGAGGTCCGGCTGGGTCCAGTTTCTGTTCACAGGAACGTGTGTGTGTGTGTGTGTGTGTGTGTGTGACGGGTCCGTGTTTGAGTCACATGACAGGTGGTGAATTACTTGTTCTTGAGCCAGCTGAAGTTGACTGATGTTCAGCTGTGGACAGAGAATACAAAACAGATGAAGGTGCTGGAGAAGTCTACTGCAAAACAAACAACACAAGGAGACAAAAGTGAAGGAATGCTCTGGGGTAGAAAGCCAGCAGAGAGCTGAAAAAAACGGGTGGATGTGTCGGTGGGAACCACGGCGTCC